CCCACCGCAATTCAACATCTTCTGTGGGACCCAGAGGCCTGCGAAAAAGCCAGACCCACCCAAACACAGAGCTACTCTGGTTCCAAGGTCTGTAGAACATACATGGAAACGTAAAGTCTAAGGCATCAAGTGCAGGTAGAAAAAGCAGGCCTCCCATGGTCCCGGAAGGACTCCACCGGTGTCAGTCACGGTAAGGGGCCTAAGCCCTGGGGCAGATAACTAAGCAACTAAGGGAAATGTGAGCCCCCCAATCGCAGGCAAACCCATACAGGGGCCGGGACCCAAACAGGCCAGGACCCAAGCGCAACCAGGCCAGGTGCAGAGGGGAGATTCCCCATGAGGGGGCAAAGCCGGGCAAGCCATCATAACAGGGCCTAAGCATAGCAGAGTAACACAACTATAAGATAGCCTGATGGCTCAATCTCACGGTCCCCGCAACAATAATTCTAATATGGGAGAGCAGCAGAAGTCTAGTCATGATGTCAGCCTGGGGAGGAGTGCGCAGGACTGTCCGTAGAGGGGTCCGAGGAACAGACCACTTTCAGCTGGATGTTTTCTCCCAGAGGAGTCCAAGTTGATAAGAGATCCAGACGGGAGCATTGGACTCTGTACAATGCCTCCCAGTGGAAGAAGGTGCAGGTATTCCATAGGCGGTTGAGCCTACTCCGGAGTGGTGATAGAATGGCTGTGGCTTGGTAGTCGAAGGAGAGTCGAAAGGGGAAGCCCCATGCATATTTGATAAGTTGATTCACCAGGACCAAAGGGCTTCATCTGGCTGCATTTCTGAAGAGTGATCTGGCAAAGATCAGAGAAAAGCTGATAATGATGCCCCTGGAAGAGGAGCTCCGGCTTGTTTCTAGGCACCATGAGAATTGTTTCTTTTGGTGTGATAATATGTAAATTTGATTATAATGTCTCTCGGGAGCCCATCAGGCCGCTTCGGCCCCAAAGCCTGGTGTATACAGTCAAATTCAAGCCGGTCTATGGGGATGGCAGGAACCAGCTCCTGGAATAAGGCTGTGGCAGTGGAGGTGAGATCTGTGACAGATTCCGGGATACTTCCCAGACATAAATTGCCATGGCAAGAATGGTTCTCAAAGTCCTCAAGCCGCAGCAAAGTTTCCGCCAGTTCCTTCTTAAGCTCGCTCAGGTCCTGTTGATGATTCTCAATTACTGTGACCGCGGTGTCCATCTTATCTTCAAAGTCATTCGTGCAGTTCCCCAGCTCTCTGATCTCCTTGATAAGACGACCTGCAAGCTTTCAGGTAACGGTAGACAATTCATGCTGCAGCATGGTTTTAAAACTAAATAGGAGCTCAGCATAGGGGGGAATGGCTGAGGGGCGTCCGATATGTTGTCTGTGTCGGAGGCGGGATCTGGGTCCCCCGAGAGCATTCATGAGAGTCCCCCCAGCAGGTAGGCCGCGGGTTCCGGCGCGGCCTTCTGAGCGCTGGAGGTTCCGTTTTTTTCCCCCATCCATGCCGGTGGGTGTCAGGAACCTGAAGAGGGGTGGGTGTTGTGTCCCCCTGAAGGCTGGTAAATCGGCCGATGTGTCTGGTGGGAGGAGGAACACGACTATTGTGCGGCCATCTTGGGTTGCTGCTCACGAGCGCCCACCAGCGGATTACATTTTAAGCAAGTGCTGCAGACCTTTCTTGGCATAAAGGTCACACTTGTACCAGCAAGTGATTTGTGTCTACACAGGGAGTAGAATTGCATATTTATCTCAGTGGATTGCACAGCATGATAAAGGTGTTCTGATTTCAAATACCAAATTTTTCGATTACACCATTTGGAAGACGCACTTTTTTCTGCCCCTAACACAAATATTGGGGGGAAAATGTCAGTGTGTTATCTTAATTGGAGCGAAAAAAAAGCACTAGGGCTTATTTTTGGGTCCGGGATTTTTTTGCGGCCAGCTCCCATGTCAAATACCGGGCCCCCCCCCCCTCAGCTGTTGTCTTCTGCAGGGCCCCCTGTTCCTCGCTCCATGAAGCTGCAGTGCTGTCCCGCGCTGGCTTCTGTACAGCTGGTGCCCCTGCGCACTGTGCTGCGCTTTGTGAATGACCCGGTGTCTTCTGAAACTCCATGAAAGGTCCGAAGTGCCTGCCCGGGCCATTCACAAAGAGCAGCGCTTTCAGAAGCGCACATACAGTGGGCACCCGGCTGCCTCACAGAAGCCGGCCCGAAGTGAATGAGGGCAGTGCCCGAATTATCAGTCCGCGGAAGTGGGAGCGGGTATTTTCCTGTCATATTAGCAGGTACCCGCTCCCCTAGGTCCCTCCCCAAAGGTCACTTTCTCTGGTCATTCCCTTCACTGTATGTGCAGTCAACTTTGGTCATTTGATAGCACTGTCCGTATCCAGAAATCAGTCATTCCCTGCACTGTCCGCAGTCTCTGGTCATTGTGTGGGGGCACTGTCCGCAGTCTCTGGTCACCATTTGTCCGCAGTCACATGCAACTTCACTGTCCGCAGTGTCTCTGGTCATTCCCTGCACTGTCCGCAGTCTCTGTCATTCTCACTGTCCGCAGTCTTTGGTCATTCCCTGCACATTCTGCAGTCTCTGGTCATTCCCTGCACTGTCGCAGTCTCTGGTCATTCCCTGCACTGTCCGCAGAAAATCTGGTCATTCCCTGCACTGTCCGAAGAACTTTGGTCATTCCCTGCACTGTCTGCAATATTGGTCATTCCCTGCACTGTCCGCAGTCTCTGGTCATTCCCTGCACTGTCCAATCTTTGGTCATTCCCTGCACTGTCCGCAGTGCTTTGGTCCATTCCCTGCACTGTCCGCAGTCTTTGGTCATTCCCTGCACTGTCCGCAGTCTCTAGAGAAGTCATCCCCTGCAAACTGTCCGCAGCTCTATGGTCATCCCTGCACTGTCCGCATGCCATATTAATTTCCGCAGTCATGGCATCCCCTGCACTGAGTGTCCGCAGTCTCTGGTCATCTCCTGCACTGTGTCCGCAGTCTCTGGTCATAACCCTGCATGGCCACAGTCTCTGTCATCCCCTGAAACTGTGTCCGCAGTCTCTGGTCATCCCCTGCACTCCTGTGTCCGCAGTCTCTGGTCATCCCTGTCACTGTGTCCGCAGTCTCTGGCATCTCTTGTACTGTGTCGCAGTCTCTGGTCATCTACCTGCTACTGTGTCCACAGTCAGTGGTCATCTCCTGTACTGTGTCCGCAGTCTACTGGTCATCTCCTGTACTGTGTCCGCAGTCTCTGGTCATCTCCTGTACACTGTGTCCGGAGTCTCTGGTCATATCCCCTTGCCTCCTGTACTGTGTCTGCAGTCTCTGGTCATCTCCTGTACTGTGTCCGCAGTCTCTGGTCATCCCCTGTACTGTGGTCCGCAGTGCTCTGGTCATCTCCTGTACTGTGTCGAGCAGTCTCTGGTCATCCCCTGTACTTGTCCGCAGTCTCTGGTCAGTCTCCACTTGTCCGGAGTCAGATGTTTTCCCCTGTACTTTGTCTGCAGTCCATTGGTTCTTTTTTTTGTTTTTCACCTCTAAAATCTAGGTGCGTCTTATGGTCAGGTGCGTCTTATGGATGCGAAATACGGTAAGACAAATTTTAGATTACTGATTACACACATTTGGATTGGGTTTTTTTTTGGCACTTTATTTCTGCTTTTGTTGAGTTCTTTTTGATTTTCTATTTTGTTACACACAGATATTGATACCGTGTTTCCCCGAAAATAAGACAGTGTGTTATATTAATTTTAGGTGAAAAAAAATGCACTAGGGCTTATTTTTGGGTAGGTCTTATTTTTATTGACGTCTCCACCAGCTCCACAAAAAGGTAAGTTTTAAAGCAAGCCCCCCCCCCTCTCTCTCTGCCCTCTTTCTCCCCCCTCTCCCCTACCTACTACATGAAGCTGCAGTGCTGTCACAAGGGTCGGGGGATTACATACTTACCTGCTACATACTCTGCCTGCCCCTCCCGCACTCCAACTTCAGCACCCGTGGCAGGAATGTGGACCCACCCCTCTGCTGAAACTCCGAGGAGGAGAGGTGTCCGAAGTGCCTGCCTCACTGTCCTTCCCCGCAATGCCTGCTTATTTCAGAAGCGGCACATACAGGGACGGACTGAGCCTCTCATGGGGCCCTGTAGTGACCCCATGTTCTCGGGCAGTGCCCGAATTATCAGTCCGCCCCTGGTGGGAGGTAGGTCTTATTTTCGGGGGAGGGCTTATATTAGCAGTACGTCAAAAAGTACCACTAGGTCTTACTTTCGGGGTAGGTCTTACTTTCGGGGAAATGCGGTAGCACTAGTATGTGTACAACTGATGAAGGTGTATTTGATAGCAAGATACTGTATCCAGGAAATCAGAGAATTTCTATAACTAAGTAAATAGTGTCGTTGTGTGGGGGCTCTTCCTCAGTTAGGCACCACCATTTGCATCACATGCAACTTTCATGATTGTGTAAACAACCACCATCTCTGTAAAGCGATCTTGTTCTCATCTACCAAATTTTGCTAAGCACATTATATCTGTACCAACCAAATATGCATATTTCGCTACAACCATCTGCCATTATGCAGACACATACTCATACTACAAGAAAATCTCTCACATGCAAGAAGAACATCGGTGCTATAATAACAGCCCACACAATATTAACAATGCTTAACACAATATTAATAGGTGCTATTGTAAAGTATTTGCATGCTCAATCTTAATATGATTTCTGCGTAGTCTGGCCATGTGCTTTAGGTAAGCTTTCCAAAATGTCCTCTGACTGTGTATGCTATGTGTTTGTGAAGGCATAGGCAGGACATGAAGGCGAAGAAAATACTCTAGAGAAGAATATAGCATTGCAAAGAAGAGTGCAGGGGGATATAGGAGTGGACCTCTAAAGGAAAGACGAGGGAGATGTAGCATGCCATATTAATTTGAATATGCTGCTGATAGGACACTGGGAGTGTATAATCATACAGGAGAAAATTCTAAATAGTATAAAAACATGTCTGCTTCATTAAATGGCCACTTACTGACCTAAGAAAGAACTTGCAGAGCAAATCTCTGTTCTTCCTCACTCCGGCCTCCTTCCTCCACAATGTGGGAAGTTAAAGATAATGCGGTCATAAAGATGATTAGTCAGAAAAGCATACTCTTTTAGCTTTGTCGCATCCACTTCAAAGTATACCAGAGCTCCTGTTGTAGTACAAAGACAGAAAAAGACATATTTCAAAAGAAGGTGGAGTAGAGATGTAATAAAAAATAACAATTGTCAGTGTAACTAACCACAAAGCCACTTTTTTTTAGCAAAACATCTGCCTAAGTCAGATATCCCCTTGCCTCCTCTTCTATGTATCCATTCCTTTCATATTTCATTTTTTTCTAAGGGCTTACCTTTGTGGACCACTGAGGTGCACAGAAGTCAATCTCTACTAATGAACTGAAATTAGAGTAAGATTAGCACAAAGAGGAGTTTTTTCCCTGGCCAATAAAAGTCATTATAGGCATCTTGTGGTACCCACACTTAGGCAGATGTTTTTCTGAAGCACAGTGATTGCATTGTTAACACTCTTGCTTTACAAAGCTGGGATCATGAGTTTAAATATCAACATGGGCATAATACTAGGCAATACTAGGCTGAACTAATATACAGAGTGTCTTGGAAATTCTTGATGTCAATATGTTTAGACTTAAATATTCTAAACCCTTATTTTTAAGTACTTTCAGCAAATAAATTAATCACTTACTTGGCAAGTAGCTTCTTTATCTTTCAGTCCTTGCCTATGTTTCTTTAAACTGGTGCCATGACTACTAACCCTTTCCCTTTTCATGGTGGCTCCTTGGAGCAACCTTTAGAGCCATCCTTACATGCAGGGACTAGAGTTGTGTCTCCCTAGACTGTGTGCATCAATTAAAACACTCTTAAAGCCTAGGATGGCAAGGCACTGAACTGTTCCTACCTTCTCCATACTACAACTGATTCCAAACTACACTGTCAAGTGTTAATGCTTTCCTGTGAAGACTGGAAGTTCAGGGAAGTACACAGTGAGATCAGGAGCCTGCAGCATAGAAAGTTGTAAACTACAAGTTCTGAGATAAGAATTTTTACAAATAGTTTACTGGGGGATGTTTATTTTATTGGGTTCAATGTGTTAATACTACTTTATGGACAGATTATGGATGAACATTTTAGGAAGTGAGATTCTCTACCAGGATGTTTGGATGAATTCACCAGGTCGCTTGACGTGACTGTAAAAGTTGGACAAAAAGAGAGCAAGAGAACATTTGAAGTTCACCTTTCATTTGAATATGTTTTGAAAAAGCTGCCGTTAAGGAAGTCTATGAGGCAGAAGGGATAAGACGACTCTCAAAACTAGAGGGATGTCTTGCAGTTTGCAGCTCTCCAGGGTTTGATGGTGGCACAGCTTTCCTATTGACTTTTGAAGGTACATAAAGGCACCACAAGGTAAACCTAAAAGTAAAAACACTCCACAGCACACATCTCAAATATTCAATAAAAAGATGAAAACCAAAAGGACCCAGGATGGTAAATGTAATAATAATATAAAACAATGTAAAAATGCAGTTAGAACAATAACTAACAGACTATGTACAAATCACAGTGATAAATGGTGTATATGTCACATGTACCCAGACACTAAACAATTGACAGCTGAACTACACAGAAAAGGTCCAATACTCCTGGGTGGCCAGAAGGGGAGCTCTGGAATATGCAAAAGATATACAGAGAGAAACCAGCTCAAAGGCTAAATATTGCAGAATGTTTAAAAACAGAGAGTTTATTAAAAAAAAAAAAAACCCAAAAATATGCACTCACAAATATAGTTGAGGGGCAAGGCACAAAACCACTAGGGCAGATACTGGAGATCGGGAATCCTCGCAGGGATGGAGCAGGGTGGACACTCTGCAAGACCTGAGGCTGCCAAGCTGTACGAGGAGGGAAGCCACTTTTCAGTGAAAGTGTGCCCACCAGGAAGAAATGCTAATGGAGTGGTGCAGAGGGTTGGGACACGTTTCTGAAGGATCTCCCCAGAAAAGGCTGAAGAAAGAGGAAATCCCTCAGAAACTCATCCCAACCCTCGGCACCACACCTCATGACAAACGGCTTCCCTCCTAATGCAGCTCGGCACCCTCAGCTCTTGCAGAGAGTCCATCCTGCTCCATCCCTGCAAGGTTTCACTATCTGCGACTCTTATGTGGTCTATTCTGCCCTAGCGGTTATGGGCCTTTTCCCTCGACTGTGTTTGTTTGTTTATTATAAAAAAAAAAAAAAAAAAACACACACTCTATTTTTAAACATAACGTACTATTAGGCTCCGTTCACACTACTGCGACATGAAAGTCGTATCATCTATACATCAGATAAATAAATAAAATATTAATTCACATGAAGTCCCATAAATGTCTCTGAAATCTCAAAATGTCCAAACTCTTTCTTTCCCACCTCCAAATCACATCGTGTTACGGCGTATATGGTAGTCCAACGTGTTGTATCCCAACATTCGTGAACCTCAAAAAAATATATAAACTAGAAATAGTGTATTACCTTTTACATAAACACGTCCGTGCAGCAAATAATGTGTCATGCACACTGCATATCAAGTGTACAAAAAGTGAGAAGAAAAAAAAAAAAATATAGAATATTAAAATATATTAAATTAAATATATAATAAATGATTAATATCACACATGAATCAAAAAGTGAGCATTCCAATTCCAAACAACAATAGTAAACGTGATCTCTACATATTGTGATGGTTGACTCATCCACTGAATCAAAAATAAAATAAACCAAATAGTGAAATCCAAGATGTGCAATTCAAGTGAAACACTCCAACTGGTGCAGCAATGGGTAATTACCCTATGTAGGTATTATCCAGCTTTTCCCACACAGTAGATGCTGACACCTCCAGGCTTCTTAATTGTCCTGTTATCGTGTTCCCATGGTCCTCATAAGGAAAATTAGATATTTAGAGACTTATATGTAATCAATAGTAACATATTTATTCATTCACTTACATAAAAACTGCTAAAAACCGCTTCCAGCAACAGAAGTAATCTAAAGTAGTCTTATTCTGGCAAAACCAGCATGTTCCCTAAACAAAGATGGCCGCGATCGTACTTCCGGTGGCTCAGAATCTGGGTATGTGTTTGACCCACTGATGGTTGAAGGCCTTGGGGGCTGGGTTTCATATGGTTGGAAAGGACAGCTTGAAAAGGAATGTGACTGATTCACCCTTTGTGTTACAGGGGTGCCAATGGTGGAGGCCAATGGGGATGGAGTTGGATATGGGATTGGAGAATGCAATGTATGAAGGACATTTCTATACTCATCTGAGTAAGAGCCAAAGTGAGGAGGATAGTAAGGGTGTGTTCTGGGTGGGTGAGGGGTTGGATGGGGATAATAGGGACCAGATGGTAGTGGTGGGCCACACACTGCAGGTGATGAGATGGTTGCTGGCTCATCATCCACGTGGGAGTGTATCACATCCATCACTGCCATCCTCAAATGATGTTTCCACTCTTGGCGGATCTTTTGGAACTTGACTATCTCAAGCATGATCCTCTGTCTGTTGCTCCCCTAGTTTTTCATGGAGTTTATTTACAGCCTCCACAAATCGATGGTTTGCCCACTCCTCCCTCTTTTAGGTCTGCTTGTCCGAAGTCAATAAATGTGGCTGGGCCCAGCTTCCTCCTCTGTGACAGCAGACTGCTGAGACAGGCTATAATCGATTTCTCTGGGATCCTCTGGGGTAGCAGTCTCCTGCGAGTCCTCCACCCCCTCATCGACACTGCCTTCCCAACTGGCTTGTGTTCTTAAATAGAAATAGAATAATGTTTAGGCACACCATTCTTAAGAAATTCTATATTAATAAATTAAAAACATGACAGATGTTAGCTCACTCTCTTATTTCCATGATAGGCTTCAAAAAGTCCAAGTCTCTAGCATGGGAAAATGGCATCACCCTCTTGGCTCTAAATCCAATCCTTCAGCTTTCTTAGGTGGCAGATGCAAACTATTGCTTTGCATACACAGATATAGGGGCATGCGGGAGCAGTTCAGATCAAGAATTTTGTGCATTCATCCTTTAGTCAAATGCAACATGAGAATAGGCTTTCATCTTCCTGAGAATTGTCTATTACCTGGCACAAGTGAACCCCTACTACCCTATGTCTTTATTGGTGATGAGGCGTTTGCTTTGGGTCAACACTAGATGAGGCCTTACTCAAACCATAATCTGAGTATCGAGAAAAGGATTTACAACTATCGTCTGAGAAGGGCAAGAAGATTAGTAGTGTGTGCTTTCGGGATTCTAGCCAATAAGTGGTGGTTGCTGCACACACTGATTGTTTTAAACCTAGAGAATGCAATATCTGCCATTAAAGCAGCATGTGTTCTCCACAACTTTGTCCATCAGCATGATGGTTACCTCTTTGAGGATTCCCTAATGCATGACATAGAGGGTGCACATAGGGGCTGCTAATAGGGGCTCCAGCAATGGTACCACTATTCGGGAACAATTTACCTCTTTCTTCATGTCTCCCACTGGCAAGGTTGCATGGCAAATGGTGGCTATCTCATAACGGATCAAATAAATCTATTGCAGTTTGGGCACCTTTTCATTTTGCCGTATGAAGCCTGTTCGGGTATACTGTTTGTAACTTTTGATGTTATGCTAGGCTTTGTTTTACTGGTGTGAATCTTTTGGAGAACTGTTATTGTATTATTTCAAAAAAATCTATCCTGCTTGTTAAAGACTTAATCAGATTAACAGATTAATCAGTATTAACCTACAAAGATTGAAGAATTTCAAAGGAGGATTGGAGCATATAGGTTTTAGATTATCACAGCACACATATCAACGCATTTTGGGTCTTCAATTTGCACATAAGTAATTTTTCACCTTCACTGATGTGCATTGATGAGGCTGCAGAAGATGGGCACTGATAGGCAGCACTGATGGGCACTGACAGGCAGCACTGATGGTACTGTTATGGATCTTGCTTGACACTGCACTTTTTACACTTTTGTTTCTAGGGGGATACACAGTGCATGTAGATCATGAAAAAATGGTAAACTTACTTTTATCAGAATGATCATTGATAAAGCTGATAAAGTGTCCCAGTCTTCAAAACAGATTCTGCAGATCTCCAGCCATGCATGGTCCCTCTTTGCTTGGTCCTGATAATGTAGATCTGTGGTGTCACACAGAAGTAAAAGGTACCTCACCAGTTTGATCAGATCTTTATTGTCTAGCACTCCTGTGTGCTCTGGATGACATGGTAAAAATTTGCATCAGTCTCTTGAATAGATTGTCTTGTGCAGGTATGCAGAGAACACAGTATACAGGAAGTGCTCTGTGGGAGAGACTACAACCAGGGAATGCCTGGGTAACTTCCTGTAAAGTCGGATCACAGTCACAGAAAAACAGATGAGGATCCGACTAGGAGGCGAGAAGTCTATAGCCACAAGTTGGATATAAATTACCTTGAAATAGTACAGGAAACTTTTCTGATGTCGAAGCGACTTAAGTAGTGTATATTAAGACATCTCTCACTCACGTACATGAGATTTCACATGTCATGCAACTTGGGGCCTTACAAATTGGATCCCAAGTTGTGGCAGTGTGAACAAAGCCTTTGTGCTGGTTTCTCTCAGTTTATCTACCAAAAGGTAAACCTGCATGTGCTCCAAATAGAGATGAATAGTATTAGGTCAGATCACATTATTTTACAACATAGAAGTAAATAACTGCAGAAGGCTTCCAGGCTGCAGACTGTACAGTTTCCTCTGCAGCCAAGGTTGATAAATACAAAATATTGATATTCAATATATTTATTCGACTAAAAATAACTAAGTATTTTGTCCTGAAACATTTACAATGAAAACATGTACAATATACATTCTGTTGCAGTTTTGGGGGAGAGGTTAGTGTTCATTTTAGGGAATAGGGTCAAGTAGGGGTAAAATATGAAATGTACCCATTTATAAAAATGTAACGTAGCTGGGCTTTTGTTTTCTATGAAAATGTCAGGCTTAATGAATTCTTTAACTTTTATTGGCTTCAAATTCTGTTTGAGAATTGTCTCTTGACCAGTTTAGCCCTGGAGAAGGGGACATGACCCCCAACATGCATCTGCTGGTTATTTGATATGTAAAAGAACCAGAAGAGTTCCACTGTGTGCAAGGCCCTTCGACCCCTGGGTTTACGTACAACGCTGTTACTACCTTTGCTTTTCTAAGTATGTAAACTTTTATCCTTCAATATAATGCTGTGGATAATGCACAAGATGTTTGCACCCTTTTTTTTTTAAATTCTGTTTGTACAGCTGCAAGATTCTCCAATCTTAAGAGGGCCGCATCGGCTTATACATCCAGTCCTGGTTGTGCAGTGACAATTGCCACTTGTGATAGATTGTTCTACTCTTCTGGAATCCTTTAGCGCTACAGTGTCTTGAGACTACCCTTGCACAAAGTCTCTTGACAATCTGACTGCTGAGTGCTAATAGAAGCACTGTTCTCAGGGAAGAGTTCAGAAAATATATACCCCACCCAATCAGTACCACCACTCCATGATATAAAAGGTCTCAGAGATGGGGAAAAGGTTGTTGGTGTTCCCTCTCACAAGGGCTTCTACAGACATTTTGTTTTTCACTGCCCTGCATAGGCTGTCAATAGAGGGAACTACAAGTGGTTTTAACTACAAAGCCTTGGTATTCACCTGTAATATTTAAGTTTCACAACATGACGAGTCATAACAAATATTAACAACTTTACTGGGACTTCTGCAAATCATTTTAAGAATAAAGATAGGTTAGAAGTTAGGGAGTTGCTTTTGGGTGACAAACTGAAGCCAGTGCTAAAAACTATCTTTGCTGGACTTCCATCAATAACAAAAATGACCGAATAATAATGATGAACGCTGAAGCATGTATTCCTTTACCGTTTCTTCTGAGCTGCTCCACATTGGCAGATGAGAGAGGCTGTTTGGATACTGCATCTTCTGTCTCATAACAGGTAGCAACAATGAGATCCTTCCCTTGGTTGAAGCCAGAGAGGGATGCAGAATAAGAAAAGTTCCCTTCACCCACTAACAAGATACTTGGCATCTTCCTGCTTGAAGCCTGTCTTAAAAGAAATGGAAAGTATTAGAGCTCATTTAAGATCAAGGTTACACAGGAAGTTGATTATGCCTCATAAATTTTAATGCAATGGTTTTTGTATTTATTCAGACTCTCAGGAACATCACACCAGCCAAAAGGCTCATGGGCACGTGTATAAATGTGCACAGAGTTCTCCATAGGATCATGGTCTATCAGTCTGAGTTCCTGCAATTCTTGTTCCTCAACTGTATGCCTCACCTAGTTTTTGACCTGGGTCTTGTCTGACCTCATCCCACTGCTGGATTATCCGCATCTGCCTATGTTTGCTGCTGATCTCTGTTATTGTCCTCAGCCAGGACTCGTGACCAAAATTTGGCCTGTCAACTATACCTTGCTGCCAGCCCATTACCCACCTCTGCTTATTCCTGACCTTGATTCTGCTCTGCTTTTACTGAACCCATTCTGTAACCCAACTCCACGTAGAATTGAACTTGGTGTATCCTGGGTGCCCTATTCGCTTTACTTCACATCGTCACATGCCTGATGAAGGGGTCCTGCGAGACTCCGAAACGTTGCCTTGCTGTAACTATGTGATCGTTCATTAAAACTTTTAGACCCATATTGGTGATCCTCAGTGTGCTGGTGACATTCTCCCTTGCCGATTCTGGTCGGTTCCAGCCAACGGTCGCTGCAGCACCCACTTACACACACAGCCATTTTTAACGCAGAAACGTGTGCATTTGGATTGTACACTTTCATACAAGTATGTGACACAGACCAAATCACTGCAGGTGTCCCAGACTTTTGACATTTAAGGTACAGTGTTCACTGGTTCAGATTTTCATCTGGACCAACGCTGCACTGGGCACATCTGTCCAAAGAAAAGAAGGTACTTAGAATCATAATCAGCAATGTTTCAAGATGCTTATGACCAACTTTTTATTAGCAGGATTCTTATCTGTGCTACGGCTCTATAGTCTGTGGTCTTTTTTCAGCAGGGGTCCAACAGAAACAATTTTGCCCTTTTTATTTCAGCTATGTGTTTGCAGGGACAAGCATACACCACTGACACATAGTAACTCACTGTGTTTATATCGGGGTGGGGAAGACTATGGGCAACAGAAATTACATGAGGTCTGTAAAAACTGTCCCAGACTCAGTGCTTGTGATTAGAGGGAGGTAAAATAAAGTTCCATGGTTGGTGTCAGTAGGAGGAATAGAGTCCCAATATTGATATCAGTGGAATAGTGCTCCATCATTGGTGTCAGTAGAAGAAAATGCACCCCATCATTGGTATCAGTGGGAGGGATCGCATGCCATAATTGGTGTAAGTGGGAGGAACAGTGCCCCATCACTGTTGTCAGTGGGAGGAACAGTGCCCCATCACTGGTAACAGTGGGAGGAATGTATTGTTATTAGTGGGAGGAATAGTGCCCATTCATTGGGGTCAGTGGGAGGAACAGTGGCCCATTCATTGGGGTCGGTGGGAGGAACAGTGGCCCATCACTGGTGTCGGTGGGAGGAACAGTGGCCCATCACTGGTGTCGGTGGGAGGAACAGTGGCCCATCACTGGTGTCGGTGGGAGGAACAGTGCCCCATCACTGGTGTCGGTGGGAGGAACAGTGGCCCAGCACTGGTGTCGGTGGGAGGAACAGTGCCCCAGCACTGGTGTCAGAGGGAGGAACAGTGCCCCAGCACTGGGGTCAGTGGGAGGAACAGTGCCCCAGCACTGGGGTCAGTGGGAGGAATAGTGCCCATTCATTGGTCCGGTGTTTTTACGTCCAATATGTGTGTGGCCCTATGAGTCCTCCTCCCTCACAACAACCTATAGGAGCCACCTCCATCCTGACATCTCCGCTCCCCACTCCTCACCGACACATGACCCCCATAAGGAAGCATTACCTTCTCCTCATCACAGTGACATCCATCGAACACTTCCTGGCCGGCGCACAGTACTGACGTCAGACGGAACATTGTTACCAAGCAACGATGATGCTTTACCTCTGCGGGTGAATTGACGATCTCTGGAAGGATCAGGTGTGTTTGTGAAGACGGTGCAGAGTATACAAAGTATACAGATACATGACTGTGGAATATGACGGTTTGTCTCCCCCCTCCTGATCTGTGATCAGTGTGGAAGGCAGGATAATAGGAAGCAGGTGGGAGATCTACTGCTGGTACTTCTAGTATGACTGATGTGGGTGGCTTGGGTCGGTGCGTGCGCCTCCCCTCCTCCATTCATAGGATCTGTCTGTCTGTCATTTTATACAACATGTGTTCTCTTCTCTGTCGCCTTTTAAAGCAGCACTGGTCAACTTTCTTGGTATGTGAGCTTCAAGTGTGGCCCCAATATTGCCAAAGGGCCACACATGAAATCCAGTGAATGTTCAGTGACAGTAGACACACAACCGGTCATAGTCAAAGACTATAGACATGATACAAGGGATGGTCAGAGACTGGGGGACATGATACAAGAGATGGCCAGAGACAGGGGGACATGATACAAGAGATGGTCAGAGACTGGGGGACATGATACAAGAGATGGTCAGAGACTGGGGGACATGATACAAGAGATGGCCAGAGACAGGGGGGACATGGTAAAAGAGAAGATCACAGACTGGGGGACATGATACAAGAGATGGTCAGAGACATTAACAAGGGGACTGGGGGACATGATACAAGAGATGGTCAGAGACTGGGGACATGATACAAGAGATTGTCAGAGACTGGGGGGACATGATACAAGAGATGGTCAGAGACTGGGGGACATGATACAAGAGATGGTCAGAGACTGGGGGACATGATACAAGAGATGGTCAGAGACTGGGGTCCATGATACAAGAGACGGTCAGAGACTGGGGCACATAATACAAGAGATGGTCAGAGACTGCAGAAATGAAACAAGAGATGATCTGAGACTGGGGGACATGATACAAGAGATGGTCAGAGACTGGGGGACATGATACAAGAGATGGTCAGAGGGGGACATGATACAAGAGGTGGTCAGAGACTGGGGGACATGATACAAGAGGTGGTCAGAGACTGGGGGACATGATACAAGAGGTGGTCAGAGACTGCAGAACATGGTACAAAAGATGTTCAGAGACTGCAGACATGATACAGCAGATGGTCAGAGCCTGGGTAGCATGGTATAAGAATTGGTCAAAGACTGCAGATATGGTGCAAGAGATGGTCAGAAACTGCAGACATGGTACAAGAGATGGTCAGAGACTGCACACATAATACAAGGGATGGTCAGAGACTGCACACATGGTACAAGAGATGGTCAGAGGCTACACACATGATACAAGAGATGGTCAGAGACTGCAGGCATGATAAAGCAGATGGTCAGAGCCTGGGGGGCATGGTACAAGAATTGGTCAAAGACTGCAGACATGGTACAAGAGATGGTCAGAGACTGCAGACATGGTACAAGATAGAGACTGCAGACAGAGACTGCAGACATGATATAGAGACAAGAGATGGTAAGAGACTGCAGACATGATAGAAGAATGGTCAGAGACTGGGGGACATGACAAAAGAGATGGTGTGAGACTGCAGACTTGCTGCAGGAGACTGACAGAGACTGTGAACATGCAAGTTGTTGAAGACTGGTGACATACTTTAGGAGAAAGTTATTAACTGGAGACATATTACTTGAGACTACAAAATCAATCAAACGTACCCAAGCACAATCACATACACCTACCAATTATACTGAAAGTGTTTCCACGAGTGAAATTACCTCAATATGTATGAACAGTGCCGCGCAATATTAATCACATAGTGCTGAATACTTTCATAATGTGCCAAAAAAACACGAATATACTTCTTGCAAACAGTGTGTCACTTTAAATATGAAATGCACAACCACAGTACCACAGATGAGATATTAGTGCCTGTGCAGCCGGTGTAGCGGGCATTTCACATTTAAAGTAGTACACAGGGATATTTAAAGAGGTACCAGTATATTTTCAGGGTTTTTTTTTTAACACATTTGAGAGTCTCTGGTCATCTCCTGTACTATGTCCGCAGTCTCTGGTCATCTCCTGTACTGTGTGCAGTCTCTGGTCATCTCCTGTACTATGTCGCAGTCTCTGGTCATCTCCTGTACTGTGTCCGCAGTCTCTGGTCATCTCCTGTACTGTGTCTGCAGTCTCTGGTCATCTACTATGTCTGTACTCTTTGGTCATCCGCATGTCTGCAGTCTCTGGTCATCTCCTGTACTATGTCCACAGTCTCTGGTCATCTCCTGTACTATGTCTGCAGTCTCTGGTCATCTCCTGTACTTTGTCTCTGGTCATCTCCTGTACTTTGTCTACAGTCTCTGGTCATCTCCTGTAGTCTGCAGTCTTGTTCATCTCTGTAGTACATTTGTCTCTGGTCATACTATGTCTGCAGTCTCTGTTCATCTCCTGTAGTCCTGTAGTCTCTGGTCATCTGTACTATGTCTGCAGTCTCTGGTCATCTCCTGTCTGCAGTCTCTGGTCATCTCCTGTACTATGTCTGCAGTCTCTGGTCATCTCCTGTACTATGTCTGCAGTCTCTGGTCATCTCCTGTACTATGTCTGCAGTCTGTGGTCATCTCCTGTACTATGTCCGCAGTCTCTGGTCATCTTCTGTACTATGTCCGCAGTCTCTGGTCATCTCCTGTAGTACATCCGCAGCCTCTGGTCATTTCCTGTACTATGTCTGCAGTCCATTGGTTCAGAATATTTTTTTTCCTTGTTTTCCTCCTCTAAAACCTAGGTGCGTCTTATGATCTGGCGCTTCTTATGGAGCGAAAAATACAGAAATTTAAAGCACTGGTGATAAGAGAAAAAGATTGCATACTCTTACATGTTGTGGTGTGGACAAATCAAATATAGGTGGACAGCATATTTTTATGATTATTCTGCAAGAAAAAATGGAGCAAGATAAGGATCTAGCCCCGGAAATAGTTCTGTTTGCATTCAACTTAGCACACATGGACAATAAATAGCGTGCAAGTTCTATATTAGTACACACAGACATTTACCTGATATTGTTGATCATATCTGTTGATGTATCTTATATATATTTGATGTATAGAGTATTCACCTATACACTGTAAAGGTACGGCTCACTGGTTCACCTTTAGAGGGGTATCAATCACTTAAAGTGGTACACACGGATAAATACCATTGGGACCCGTGGATATGTTTAAAAGATTTTTTGTGTCATTCCCTATTCTGTATATTTGAGCACAATTTATATTGCTACTGTCATTGTACTTGTACACTTTCATACTTAAAGTGGTACACATGGATATTTGAATAAGTACACATGGATATTTGAATAAGTACACATGGATATTTGAATAAGTACACATGGATATTTTGTTTCTAGTTAATTTTTTTTTTCTTTTATATTTTATAATATTTGAGATTGCAACTGCCATAGTGGTTGTGCATTTCACATTTAAAGAAGTACTCACGGATATTTAAAGAGGTACATCTGGATAATTTGTTTCCAGTATATGTTCATTTTTTTTTAACACATTTGAGATTGGGTCTGGTGATCTCCTGTGCTTTGTCTGCAGTCTCTGGTTATCATCTGCGGAGGTAGATATAGCAGGGACTGGGGGTGTGGGGAGGGTGTACGGTGTTCGTTCACCTTCTCATTTTTTTCAAAGGTGAACTAACACTTTACCTTTTTTTTTACTGTATGTATGTTATTTCCCTTGTGTAGACAACTGTTTTTCACCCAGGGTGCCATCTGGCTTCCCCTGGTGTGCAGTGAGCACAGGACCCTCTTTGCCCTGGATCAGTGTCATGAGTTGCCATGGTGCTGGTGGGTCCGCTGTGAAGGGTGGACTCTGATGTGATGGGGGAACCTATTATGTAGATTGGGGCATCTAATGTGAAGTTAATTTCATCAAGGCGGTTGTGTGTATTGTCCCAGGCTTAGGTTTCCTATTTGATAAATTACATTTGATAAATAACATTTATGTTTACCTTCAAAAATGCGCATATAGAAACGCATCCAGACTGCGTTTCCATGGTGTGAACTGGCCCTTAAAGGGTGCCATGTCTGAAAAAATGCTAACAAACACTGGTGTAGACATCCTAAAGCCCTGAGACTGCATCTTGGCACCTCCATCTTGGATGTGATGCACACAGACTCAGAGCTTTCACCTAAATGACAGAAAAATTATGACGAAAGCTGAAGGGAGGGTCAGAGGAGCTGGGCCAGTACAGACAGTAATTAGACACTCCCAGTAGAGGAGCGGGCTGTGAACTGCAAGAAGGGAGGGGGCTGTGCTTGACAATAGATTTTTCCTGCAGCAGTCACATTTTCTAGCAAGTTGAAAAGCATGTGATTGTTTCCTTTACAAATCAGATATAGATATAGTAACGCTTACAAGGCAGCATTTCTACATACAGTATGTGTGATCAGACTTACTGCAGGGGAGGTGGAGAAGCAGGCTGCAGGTCTGTGAACTGAGACTGCAAGTGGATTAGGAACATATAATTATAGTTTTCTCACACACATAACCACCTTCCTTTTTAACACCCTTTTTAAAGCTTTTGTGAAATATGTTTTTTTATTTTCTTTTAAAATAATAAATATGTCATACTTACCTGCTCCGTGCAATGGAATTGTACAGAGAAGCCCTGATCGTCCTATTCTTGGGTCCCCCCGCTGGCACTTCTGGTTCCTCTGTTTCTCGGTGTGCCACCATTGAAAACCAGTTCTTATCATAGCACACCTGCAGGCTCGATCATGAGCTTCACTGTCGGCGTCCATAGACACAGACAGCAAGGCTTAGCCCCGCCCTGCACCTTTTGCACAGGATTTGACTGACAGCAGCAGGAGCCAATGGCTCACACTGCTCTCAGCAAATCCTGTAGGAGTGGGAAGAAGAGAGAGATGCTGCAGATGGGAGAAGGTATGTCACCATCACACCAAGGCGCTCCAAAGCAGGTTCAAAGCTTTATTCAGTGATCACATCGTAAGAAACATAAGCAATGTTTTGGAGCCATGTAAGACTCTTCATCAGGCATGTGTTGTCACTGATGAAGGAGACCTGCATGGCTCTGAAACATCGCTTCTGTTATTACAATGTAATCACTGAATAAAACTTTAGACCTGCTTTGGAGCTCCTTGGTGTGATGGTGACATACTTTCTAATTTGAATATCTTTGGTTTCTAGCCAGTGGTCTCTGCAGCACCCGCTTACATTTACAGCCATTTTTCAGGAACTTGTTCATTCAGAATATTGTGTTTGAGCTGCTGCAGATGGGCACAGTGCTGGTTTGAGATAGGACTCAAGTACAGTGGGGATCAAAAGTTTAGGCACCCCAGCTAAAAATTTGTATTAATGTGCATAAAGAAGCCAAGGAAAGATGGAAAAATCTCCAAAAGGCATCAAATTATAGATTAGACATTCTTATAATATGTCAACAAAATTTAGATTTTATTTCCATCATTTACACTTTCAAAATAACAGAAAACAAAAAAATGGCGTCTGCAAAAGTTTGGGCACCCTGCAGAATTTATAGCATGCACTGCCCCCTTTGCAAAGCTGAGACCTACCAGTGTCATGGATTGTTCTCAATCATCGTCTGGGAAGACCAGGTGATGTCAATCTCAAAGGTTTTAAATGCCCAGACTCATCTGACCTTGCCCCAACAATCAGCACCATGGGTTCTTCTAAGCAGTTGTCTAGAAAACTGAAACTGAAAATAGTTGACGCTCACAAAGCTGGAGAAGGCTATAAGAAGATAGCAAAGCGTTTTCAGATGTCAATATCCTCTGTTCGGAATGTAATTAAGAAATGGCAGTCATCAGGAACAGTGGAAGTTAAAGCAAGATCTGGAAGACCAAGAAAAATATCAGACAGAACAGCTCGCAGGATTGTGAGAAAAACAATTCAAAACCCACGTTTGACTGCACGATCCCTCCAGAAAGATCTGGCAGACACTGGGGTTGTGGTACACTATTCCACTATAAAGAGATACTTGTACAAATATGGTCTTCATGGAAAAGTCATCAGAAGAAAACCTCTTCTACATCCTCACCACAAAAATCATCGTTTGAACTTTGCAAATGAACATATAGACAAGCCTGATGCATTTTGGAAACAAGTTCTGTGGACCGATGAGGTTAAAATTGAACTTTTTGGCCGGAATGAGCAAAGGTACGTTTGGAGAAGAAGGGGCACAGAATTTAATGAAAAGAACCTCTGTCCAACTGTTAAGCATGGGGTTGGATCAATCATGCTTTGGGGTTGTGTTGCAGCCAGTGGCACATGGAACATCTCACGAGTAGAAGGAAAAATGGATTCAATAAAATTTCAGCAAATTTTGGATGGTAACTTGATGCCATCTGTGAAAAAGCTGAAGTTAAAGAGAGGATGGCTTCTACAAATGGATAATGATCCTAAACACACCTCGAAATCCACGGGGGATTACATCAAGAGGCGTAAACTGAAGGTTTTGCCATGGCCTTCACAATCTTCTGACCTCAACATAATTGAAAATCTATGGATAGACCTTAAAAGAGCAGTGCATGACAGACAGCCCAGAAATCTCAAAGAACTGGAAGACTTTTGTAAGGAAGAATGGGCAAAGATACCTCAAACAAGAATTGAAAGACTCTTGGCTGGCTACAAAAAGTGTTTACAAGCTGTGATACTTGCCAAAGGGGGCAGTACAAGATATTAACTCTGCAGGGTGCCCAAACTTTTGCAGACGCCATTTTTTTGTTTTCTGTTATTTTGAAAGTGTAAATGATAGAAATAAAATCTAACTTTTGTTGACATATTATAAGAATGTCTAATCTGTAATTTGATGCCTTTTGGAGATTTTTCCATCTTTCCTTGGCTTCTTTATGCACATTAATACAAATGTTTAGCTGGGGTGCCCAAACTTTCGATCCCCACTGTATGTATAAGGAGGAGTAAGAAGGTGGTATACATACTGAAACATATTTTACCTTAATGCAGGGAATGCATTGAGATAAAAATGTTTAATCTTTACAACCACTTTAAGCATTAATATGACATATCAGTATGTTAAAGGCCACAGCTAAACCGTAACATTAACACAGACTTTAAAATTCCCAGGAGTCAGAAATCTAATTCATCCAAAAAGGTGACATCCAACTTCAGTTTGACAGTAAGAGCACACCTTCCCAGGAAAATGGACAACCTTTGCAGTCTCAGTTGGATTGACAGCCTGCACAACAGGATGGACTGGCTCCTAAATTCTGTATTGACCTATCTATTGGCATGTGTTTTGTTACTTTGTCTATTGAAATATCTGATTTTTCTGTGCCATTGTTTGTAACTGATGTCAACACTCAGCTTGGTGAGTGCAGATGAGTAATCCTCTAATTAATTTTTTTTTATTAGAACAGAATGGCCTGTTTTAGTTCTGATTTAAAAGCTGATGGACATGGTAAGGTATGGGTGGACTTTGGACCTGATGCAAAGCTCAAGCAATATGGCTGGAGGTGCACAACTAAGGAGGATTCGTACTCCAACAAGACATTACTTGGAAACTGGAACCAGGAACGTTATGACCTTCATAAACTTGAAGAAAGGAAGCCGCTGCCTTCTCAGGTACTAATAAGGAAATACTGATATGCCCTAGTATAGCAAACTCTTACTAAGACCAAGATTTAAAACCCTGCAGGCTTTCACCTCCATATAAAGTGTCAGCTGGCTAATTATAACAAAAACCCTTCAGGTACCTGCTTGAACCATAGACTTTTGTCTATGGAGCCAGCCTGTTAGGCAGACATTGTCCATGGTTGTTGCAGTTGAGCTTGTGACCCTCCATTTTCCACTCCACTTGCCTCCCTATTGGTCACAAAAATGATTGGTGACCTGACTGGCCAATGGAAATGCAAGGAGACTAGGAAGTGACAGGCCACAGCTTTACCACAACAGCTGTGGTTGATGTTTGCTTAAAAAATTACCCAGCTTTTTGTTGCACAGGGACATTCTAGCCACAGACTAAAGCAGAGTATACACTCATAGCTTTTCTTCATTCATCCAGTGGGTTGAACAAAAAAAAAAAAAGAAAACTCACAAATTCCTGAATTCACACAAGTGATGTGGATGCAGGAATCTCCCCACTTTCTAATACTTGCAGTTCCGCTCTAAGCAAAAGAAGGAAATAGTCCCGCTGGTACTCAGGAATCGGGTGCTGGCTGAAAATATTTCTATCCTATAAGTGTGTAACGTACTTAGAAAAATAACTGCTCAACCCAGTCTAGTCTATGTGGTTAACATATGTAAGATGGCCTCAGCCTTGCACCATTCCAAAAGCCACACCCTCTGACATGTTTCATCACACCCTCCGGGGCTTAGTCTTAGAGGACTATGACTAAGCCACCAGTGGGTGGGGGGGGGGAGAAACATGTCAGAGGGCGCGTGTGACAGAGACAACCAGGACAGGGGCTTTTGGAGGTGACCAGGGGCTAGACTTTTACCCACTGATTAGGGCCCATGGAGAGAGCAGACCATTCTCTAATGATGGACAACAAAGTGATCAACGCTGAGAGCAAGGCTTGGGTTAATTCTCTTAGGTAAAGACAATACAGCTTCCCTCTGGAGTGGATGGAAAGGTGTATTATTAATCTTATGCAGGTTAAGGATCAGAGGAAATATGAGCCTTTATGTAGCCTTTATATAGATTGGGTTAGAGAATCTCCTCCACTTGGGACAGAATCATTTATCAACAATCTACCTCAAGAAATCTATGAAGATAGATGAATTCCACTTTTTCAGACTGTTGGAATGTTTTATGAATTTTTCTCCTGATGGACTAGTCCACTCCAGAAGCCCCTGTCCTGGTTAGGTCTGTCACAGCATGGCTTGTGAAGTAGTGCAGCCACTTACCACATAACCACATAGACTGTATTGGATTGAGTGGCAATGTTTTTCTGTTTCAATATTTTTATTAAGAAAGTTTTGTTTTAAGAATACAACAAGCTCAAGATACACCCACGCAGGGACAGAGCAGAACAATAACACATAAACAGATATATCCTGCTGACGTGTATTAGCCAAATAACGGAATGTCCATGACATCAAGGAGGGATAGCAAAAAGCTGAACCAAATAATAGCAGCAGCAGTCCATCATATTACCGGAAAAAGAAGAGAAAAAAAAAGTTAGAAAGAAGGAAAAAGAAAATATAAAAACATAGATAAAAAATAAGAAAAAAAGAAAGAAATCCAAAAGAAAACATGGAGGAAAGGAAAACTAGACGAAATCACTGATCCAGGGCAAGCACAGGCAACGACTATAAGAGGCCATAACTGGTAGGAGGCAGGGATGGCAAGGAATAACGTATCCAAGGTTCACAAACCTTAAGGAATCTCGGATGAGAATCTTGAAGAACGCTAGACATCTGTTCAGTGATCAAATTGATGCGAAGGCCAGATATAGTCAAAAAATGGTCCAATATGACCTGAAGATTGGGGGGAGAGTGATGAGAGGATTGGTTAAACCCAAAAGAGCATCATCCGCATAAAAGTTGGCCTTGTATTGAGTGCCGGCATAGGGGACACCAGAAATATCCGGGTGATTTTGAATGGCTGCAGCTAGAGGTTCGAAAGCGAGAACAAAAAGAGCAGGTGATAGTGGGCATCCCTGTCTCGGGCCCTGAAAATAGGGAAAGATGAGGAAAAAAACCCAGCATATTTAACAGAGGCCAAGGGAGACGAATATAAAGCTGAGATCCAAGCCAGAAATGCGTCACCAAACCCCCATCTAGACAGCGTATATGTCAAATACTCCCAAGAAAGCGAATCGAACACTTTATAAATGTCCAGGGATAAAAGAAACCCCGGTATCCTGCGGCAATGTAAGATATGAATGAGATGATGGCTTGGTAGAGTTCAGATTCGGAGATATCCGCATTCAGGGCATCTCGGGCTGCAACGGATAATGAGGGTAGGCTCAGCTCAGTGAAAAAACTATCAGCATGTTCTGTGACAAAGGTGTTCAATTTCTGGTAAAGAGAGGACAAAAAAATCCGCAAATCTATGTGTAATCTTCACAGGGTCCGAGGTAAGGCCACCGCCCCTCATTCGGAGTTGAACAGGTTTATGTGTGAGACCTAGCTTAAGCTTCTTGGCCAACATTGACCCCAGTTTATTGGCGCATGTATAAAACATATGTCCGGCCCAACGTAAGGTCTTCTCAGCTCATGTAGTGGAAAGAAGATCAAATTCAGCAGCCACCACATCTCGAGCTTTCCTATTGGCCATAGTCAGGCAGGCTTTCCAAGTAGTGTCTATCACGGCCAATCGCGAGGTCAATTCCAACATCCTCTTCTCTCTGGCCCGTTTCCTGGACGAGGCAATCTGAATCAAGTGACCCCTAATGGTGACTTTGTGAGTCTCCCACAGAGAGACGGCTGAGGATACAGAACCCACAATAGGATTGAATGTGCGAAAGAACCTGGGAGCAAGAAGCCTGAGTGGTGAGCAGGGATTTATTGCGTCTCCACAGAAAAGAGGGCCGAGCCATACCAGAAAGATACAGTGATCAGGCCAGGGTGAGGTCAAGATGACAATCTTTTGAATTAAAGATAAATGTTGGAAGGAAATGAAAACGTGATCTATTCTACAAAAGCTCAGGTGTGGGGCTGAATAAAAAGTGTATTCCCGCGACGTAGGATGCATTTCCCGCCAGACATCTACCAAACCATAAGCTTGCAGCGTATCACGCAATTTAGATTCCTGAGAAAGGTTGTGGCTAGGGGTCCCTCCTGTCGGGTAACGGCGATTGACAGAGGAATTAAGAGCAACATTTGAATCACCCAGCAATAAGAGAATACCACGTTGATGGTGCGAAATCACCTTCAACAAGTGAGAAAAAAATTTGTGTTGAAATCTATTTGGCGCGTAATAACCCACCAGGGTCACCTCCTGGTCCCAAAGGGTACCCCAGAGGAGCAAATACCTGCCGGTGGGATCAGCTATGTCCAGGTTGCAAGTAAGCAGCAGATTGCATCTAAAAGCAATCACCATGCCCCTATGATTCTCAAGGGTTGAAGCAGAGAAAAAGGTTGGATAATGGTGAGAGAGGTAGCGCAGCACGGAGGATTGAGAAAACCTTGTCTCCTGCAGACAGACTACCTCAATGTATTGGGACTTCAGATGATGGAACACTTTAGAATGCTTGGTCGGAGAATTAAAACCATAGATATTTTGAAAAAAATCTTCAAAGGTTTTAAAGCCATACTGAGTCAAGGGAATTCAGCTGCCAAAATACGCTAAGAATAACGGTCCAGTCCTCAAAGGCAACCTTACCCTGGGCTGCCCCGGATCCATGAGAAAGGAGAAAAAGAAAACAGACAAGATACAGAAGAAGAAAATATACACTCTAAGGTAGTGTAACGAAACCACAATCAGTGGAAATTGCGTCAAAACCGCAAGGACACACACAGGGGGTAGCTCTACCACCGGGCACATGGGTGCATCATAAACAGCATAATACAAAAAGAACCTTCATGCAGAGGGGAAGAAAGGGGTAAGGGAAAGGAAAAGGAGGGAAAAAAGGGGAAGGGAAGGGAGGAAAAAAAAAAGGGGGGGGACATAACAGGCAAAAAGACAACGTCAAGTACATGACCTTAAGAAATGCATAATATGACACCATAATATATAAAGAAAATGTAAACAGGTACACAGACATATCAGCATAATAGAAATGAGGCATTCCTGGGTCATGGCCCCATTAGATCGGAAGCCGGCACCAACCATATAAGGCATAGGACCACGAGCCAGGAAGACCCCCGGTATATATAAAAAGGCACAATAACCCCCCCCCCCCAAAAAAAAAACAAAATACCCAAGGAGCCGGCGGGAGCCGGGGATCCGCATAAAGAAAATCCAGGTATAACAGTAAAATTAGCGGAAACAAAACAAAAAAAAAAAACCAAGGGGATAGGACACAAAGCTTACAAACATATCTCCTACCCCCCAAAAAAAAATTAAACTCAAAGCTGGACCGCAAGCAGCCGTGGGGGCCGAGGATCACTACCAGTACAGACCAGTATTGCATAGAAGAACATTTCAAACTGTAAAACTAAAAACAAGCAACATACAAAACATACGAAAAGTTCGCCCAACAAGGGCCAGTCAAGCTCTCCGCCCCATCAGAAACGCGGAGAGTCACGGCAATGGATCAAGCCATCTAAAAAGTGAAAAAGCTATACGTCCAACCTTACTCAACCTGGATCGGAGCAGGAGGATCCGGACAACGGAGGGGTACTAGGGAGGGAGCGTTTACGGCTGCCAACTTTCTTCCATATACATCCCAGCTGAGATGAAGGAGGATGTGAACCGGAGGGCCGCACCGAGCTGTCGGAGGTATCCCGCGAGGGCAGAAGGTGTAGTGCCTCCAGGGTCGACTTGTCCTCTTCTGGATTGTGGACAACATGGCTCCGATCTCGGTATGCGAACGTAAGCTTAAATGGAAAGCCCCATTGGTAATTGATGTGACAGTTCAAGAGGACTGACGTGAAGGGTTTCATCTGTCGACGATTCTGTATGGTGGATAGTGCCAGATCCATGAACAGCTGGTACGGATGACCTTGAAAGCGAAGATCCTGCTTGTCTCGTGCAGAGTGAAGGAGCTATTCTTTTGTACGGTAATAGGTGAATTTAATTATGATGTCCCTGGGAGGACCTTCAGACCTTCTCGGACTCAGGGCCCGATGAATACGATCAAACTCCAGATGGTCTATTGGTATCCATGGCATAAGTCCTCCAAAGCATCTTCCACTTTATGTACCCATGAACACAAAGTCATAGTTGTTCCAAACAGTTGTTCTCAGCTCATTTGGGCAAAGATCTCATGTCTATGGGTGGTCCCCGACTTCATTTCAATGTGCTGCCCTACATGCAACAAACTGAGCAAAGAAGCTCATGCAATTTTCTGAGCTCCATGCGTTTTTGCATTTGTTTTGCATAATTGGGCAAGGAATAATGCTTCTGTGTTACGCTTGGGAAGCAAATAACAATAAACAGCAATGAGCACCAACAATTTTGAATATATTCATGTACTAAATTAGTCTTTATGTGGGTTAAAGACTACTGTATCTAGTTTATGAAGGTGCAATAAGTCAAACAGATTAGAATTCTGCAGTCTTTATTACTGTCATTACCCCCAAGATAAGTGATCATCTCCTCCTCTTCTCTCTATTGTACCAAGCAGAGTGTTTCTATTAATTAACCTGCTACCTGATTAAGCCTGAGGCGGTCAGGGATCCTTCATTCACAGCTGTATGTTCATGGGTGTCCTTTCTGAATAAGAGTGAAGAGTCCCTGTGTTATATTGTTAGAAAGATGGTCGTCATAGGAAATGGTAACATTGCAGAATTGATATAACATTGATTTTCCTGTTTCAGTACACCCACTATTATGAAACCTCTCATTCTGCTGACTACACCAGAAAAGGGGGCTCAACGGGGAGACAAGGTGAGAAAACAATTAATCCCGCTGCATTCTTTTTAACACTTTTCTGTAATATGCCACAAACTCAAATTACATTTAACAAATATTTATTTGCTTCTTGGCCTTGGCATAGCCATTTATTATTTATTAGATAGTAAAACCTGACCTTTTTCAATATATAGTGCGTGCCTCGGTTAGCTAGTCGCTGTAGGCGTGGCGTGTGGGGGAACCGTGACAGTGTGACAGGAGGAGAGGAGTGCTGAGGGTGTGACAGCATACAGTATGTGCAGAAGAGGAGTGCTGAGGGTGTGACAGGAGGAGAGGAGTGCTGAGGGTGTGACAGGAGGAGAGGAGTGCTGAGGGTGTGACAGAGAGGAGTGCAGGTGTGACAGCAAACAGTATGTTCAGGAGAGGAGTGCTGAGGGGTGTGACCGTAGTCTGTGTGTGTAGGAGAGGAGTGTAGCTTGTATGGTGGGGGGAAATATGTGCTGGAGACAAGGGGGAGGACTTGACTACCAACAGAACAGTTCATCTTTCGGTTCACAAATAATGGTTACTGCTTTTTCTATAATTAGCTACAAAATCATTGGATCAGTCCTTCACTCATAAGTATGACTTCCTGTCCTCTGACTCCTCCTCCTCCTCCTCTTTGTTACACAACTGGGTAAAAAATGTAAACAATACATTTTTTTAAAATTATTTTTATGTATTTAACTTCCTTCTTCCTCACCTAGAGGGCAAAGGTGTTGCTGGGGACATGAGAGATGGGGTAGGATTTTCTCTAGGGAACTCTTATATAAGAAAAGGGGCAGCTTTACTGAGATTATTAGTGGACCAGGGTCAGTGGAGATGAGACTAATATTTGGCGTGGTACACTAAATGTGAGAGATTATCCCTTACCGTTATTTCCAATAGTGCTTTAATGAGGTATTAGAACAGTACAGCGATACAAAGATGAAGTCATGTAAATGATGTTCGCATAAATAATATTTGCAGCAAGAGGAAAAAAATCTTGTAATAAATGGGAAAGATCTAGCAAGGGTAGTAGACTGTTCATAAACTTATAGCCAATACCATAGATGTGAAGGTAAGGTGATTTCATGGTGAGGGAGACGGAGGGGGATATCCCTTACATTTAATGCACATGCACTGGGCATGGAAAGGTAATTACATATGTGCTAGGGACTGGCTGCTGAGGGCTAACATACAGGCTGGTGACTGGCCGCTGAGGGGTAAGTGCACATACTCTGAAGGCTTACTGCGTATTAGCAGAAGAAGGTGCTAAAAGGTTGAAGCACATACCCTGAGTGCCAAGGGGTTAACCTACATAAGTCGGCTAATGGGTGCTGAGGGGTAACATACATGACTGGGCACTGAGGAGGTGACCCATATGGGCTGAGCAATGGGCATTGAGGGGCTATCAGATATGCTGGGGACAGGATGCTGAGGGGTTAAAGTACCTGAGCTGGTGACTGGGTGTTAATGCTGGGGTCAAGATGCTGAAGGTGGTAATTTACACATTTTGAATATTTATCAATGAGGGGTTCATGAACATGCTCATGAAGCAGGTCACATACACTGCAGAGAGGTCACTGAGAGGTTAAAGTTTTAAAGTTATCTGTGGTAGGTGACCGAAGGGTTAATGGTCATTCTGTTGTGACTGAGAGGTTAATACACGTATACTGCAGACTGGTCAGTGTTGGGTTAATGCACGTATACTGCAGACTGGTCAGTGTTGGGTTAATGCACGTATACTGCAGACTGGTCAGTGTTGGGTTAATTCACGTATACTGCAGACAGGTCAGTGTTGGGTTAATTCACGTATACTGCAGACTGGTCAGTGTTGGGTTAATGTACGTATACTGCAGACTGGTCAGTGTTGGGTTAATTCACGTATACTGCAGACTGGTCAGTGTTGGGTTAATGTACGTATACTGCAGACTGGTCAGTGTTGGGTTAATGCACGTATACTGCAGACTGGTCAGTGTTGGGTTAATGCACGTATACTGCAGACTGGTCAGTGTTGGGTTAATGTACGTATACTGCAGACTGGTCAGTGTTGGGTTAATGCACGTATACTGCAGACTGGTCAGTGTTGGGTTAATGCACGTACACTGCAGACTGGTCAGTGTTGGGTTAATGCACGTATACTGCAGACTGGTCAGTGTTGGGTTAATTCACGTATACTGCAGACTGGTCAGTGTTGGGTTAATTCACGTATACTGCAGACTGGTCAGTGTTGGGTTAATGCACGTATACTGCAGACTGGTCAGTGTTGGGTTAATGCACGTATACTGCAGACTGGTCAGTGTTGGGTTAATGCACGTATACTGCAGACTGGTCAGTGTTGGGTTAATGCACGTATACTGCAGACTGGTCAGTGTTGGGTTAATGCACGTATACTGCAGACTGGTCAGTGTTGGGTTAATTCACGTATACTGCAGACTGGTCAGTGTTGGGTTAATGTACGTATACTGCAGACTGGTCAGTGTTGGGTTAATGCACGTATACTGCAGACTGGTCAGTGTTGGGTTAATTCACGTATACTGCAGACTGGTCAGTTTTAGAGTTAAAACATACAGTGAGGAGGCGTCATATCCGCTCCTCACTGCCTGCTAAATGGACTGCTTTTCAGAGGGGGGCAAGTTCTACCACCCATTTGTCCAAACACAATCGTGGACTATGCACAGGCTCTACAGGCACTAAAGAGCAATTACAAGTATACTTCTGCAGAGGGGTAAGAGGGAGAGACAGCATCTGCTTCTAGCTTTCATTTTGAAAGCTGAAGATAGAAGCTGATTGGTTACAGTGCACAGCTGGTTCAGATTCTGTTTGTTCCAGTTTTAGTAAATTCCCCCTGTGATGGACCGGCTGCCACCCAGTTGAATGCCTCCGTCAGAGAGCTGCTTCCTCGCCTCTGGGACACAGGTCCAAGGTATTATAGCTGGGCATTGCACCCAAGGACTAGACGGCACTAGCTTATCTGCTACTGGAACTGTTTATTCAACAGAAATACAGGTTTTTATACATTTCAGAAATAGAGGCAGTCCCCTCATGGACAATAGAAACAAACATTATACATTGGGATAAACATCCCACACTGATCAGATAATGGGACAAAGACACAATGGTAAACACATCACACCTTGATAAACAGAATACAGCCAGAGACCTCAGCATCAGGTTGTTTTGAGCTGATTACATTAACTGCTTAGAGTTATGCAGGCCATAGACGGATTGAAAACCGCCCGTTTTTTTTTAAAAAAAAAAACAAAAAAATCAGTCACTCAATAGGCCGACGTTACCACCAACGGTAAAAAAAATCATCCGATTTTCGTCCCATCTACGGCCGGCATTTAATTACTTGTGTCCCTGCAGAGAGCTCCACTATTATATTTGACATGAAAAAGTATTGCGATTGCAACAATGTATCCATTTGTATCCATTTTGGATATAGATGTTTTTATTTGGATACAAATAGATACATTGTTGCAATCGCAATACTTTTTTCATGTCAAATATAATAGCAGACTGGAATTCTTCTTCTTTTCCTTTTTTCTTCTTTTTTTTTTTTTTCTTTTTCTTCTTCTTTTTCTTTCTTGCAGGCCACGGCTCATACGCAGATTTTTTAAAATGATCGGTAAAAAATGATCGCCCGATTTTCCCATCATTGCCGGGAAAATCGGCCAATCGGCAAAATCAGCTGATTTTTTTCCAACTTCACCGATAAAAAAAATGTGCCAAATCCCCGAAAACCGGCCAGCCAATTGACCCATTAACGGTACGAAAATCGGCCGATTTTTTTTGTCGGCCGAAAAATCAGCCGATTTTTGACCCGTATATGGCCTGCATTAGTCTAGGAGGGAGGTTGAAGCAGTCAATGCTGGTTTGGGCACAGAGACCCCAAATCTGTACTGTATCCTGGTCCTCCAGTTCTCAGTGTCTGTGTGTTTTGGGGGACACATGGACTTGAAACGTAAAATGTCCCCCCAGGCACACACCTCCCAAAGAATAGAGCCCTCTCAGATGCCAGGGTCCATGGTCAGTAGGCAAGAGGCTAGCTTGTCCCCTCCAAAAACCCTTGTCCCGGTTGGGTCTGTCACCCCCCCTGTGTTTGTGCTCAGTGTGCAATGTCTATGGGAAGGACATGGAGAATGTTTACTATGCAGTTTGTGTGGTGGGAGTGTAACTGCAGACCAAGGAGTCTCTGGAGGAGAAACTGGAAAGTGTGTTCTGGAGGAGGGATACAAGGGAGAGAACAATCTGTGTGTGTGTGCTGGTGGTGGGATCTTACAGGGTAAAGACTAGTCTGTGTGCTGGAGGAGGGATACAATGGAATGAACAATCTGTGTGTCTGTGCTGGTGGTGGGATCTTACAGGGGAAAGACTAGTCTGTGTACTGGAGGAGGGATACAAGTGGGAGAACAATCTGTGTGTCTGTGCTGGTGGTGGGATCTTACAGGGGAAAGACTAGTCTGTGTGCTGGAGGAGGGATACAAGGGAGAGAACAATCTGTGTGTGTGCTGGTGGTGGGATCTTACAGGGGAAATACTAGTCTGTGTGCTAGAGGAGGGATACAATGGAATGAACAATCTGTGTGTCTGTGCTGGTGGTGGGATCTTACAGGGGAAAGACTAGTCTGTGTGCTGGAGGAGGGATACAAGGGGGAGAACAATCTGTGTGTGTGTGCTGGTGGTGTGATCTTAAGGGGAAAGACTAGTCTGTGTGCTGGAGGAGGGATACAGGGGGAGAACAATCTGTGTGTGTGTGCTGGTGGTGGGATCTTACAGGGGAAAGACTAGTCTGTGTGTGCTGGAGGAGGGATACAAGGGAGAGAACAATCTGTGTGTGTGTCTGTGCTGGTGGTGGGATCTTACAGGGGAAAGACTAGTCTGTGTGCTGGAGGAGGGATACAATGGAATGAACAATCTGTGTGTCTGTGCTGGTGGTGGGATCTTACAGGGTAAAGACTAGTCTGTGTGCTGGAGGAGGGATACAAGTGGGAGAACAATCTGTGTGTCTGTGCTGGTGGTGGGATCTTACAGGGGAAAGACTAGTCTGTGTGCTGGAGGAGGGATACAATGGAAAGAACAATCTGTGTGTCTGTGCTGGTGGTGGGATCTTACAGGGGAAAGACTAGTTTGTGTGCTGGAGGAGGGATACAATGGAATGAACAATCTGTGTGTCTGTGCTGGTGGTGTGATATTACAGGGGAAAGACTAGTCTGTGTGCTGGAGGAGGGATACAATGGAATGAACAATCTGTGTGTCTGTGCTGGTGGTGGGATCTTACAGGGGAAAGACTAGTCTGTGTGCTAGAGGAGGGATACAATGGAATGAACAATCTGTGTGTGTGTGCTGGTGGTGGGATCTTACAGGGGAAAGACTAGTCTGTGTGCTGGAGGAGGGATACAATGGAATGAACAATCTGTGTGTCTGTGCTGGTGGTGGGATCTTACAGGGGAAAGACTAGTCTGTGTGCTAGAGGAGGGATACAAGGGAGAGAACAATCTGTGTGTGTGTGCTGGTGGTGGGATCTTACAGGGGAAAGACTAGTCTGTGTGCTGGAGGAGGGATACAAGGGAGAGAACAATCTGTGTGTCTGTGCTGGTGGTGTGATATTACAGGGGAAAGACTAGTCTGTTTGCTGGAGGAGGGATACAAGGGAGAGAACAATCTGTGTGTCTGTGCTGGTGGTGTGATATTACAGGGGAAAGACTAGTTTGTGTGCTGGAGGAGGGATACAAGGGAGAGAACAATCTGTGTCTGTGTGTGCTGGTGGTGGGATCTTACAGGGGAAAGACCAATGTGTCTGCTGGAGGTGCAGTGTCATTGGAGAAGGACCAGGAAAGGGCTGATTTGCACAGTGACAAAATTAAACTCTGACGTTTATTATTTAGTATGTGTTCTGTAGCTGCATGAATAAACTATATGTTCTTTTTCAGTTTATAACAGAGAACCCCATGTGTTTCCAGGACATCAACCTGAACTGGGTCCACCACAATACAGAACTCTTCAAAAGTCATGTTATATGATTGACTATGGCAGCTCATAGACCCATCTCCAAATACTTATGATCAACCTGGTATAGGAAATAACCCCAGAACCAATAAATGCATCATTTAATATTAAGAATTATCGTAGAAATAATTTACATATGTCCAGCATGAAGCACTTTTATTGGACATTGATTCACAGCAAAGTAATCTATAAAAAAAACATTCAGGTGTCAAATGATTGGAACACAACTTTTATCTAGAGCTCAAAAGCCAATAAAAGTGAAAACATTAAATGCATGTGAAAACCGAAATCTGTTAATGTGGAAGCTAAATATATGTCAATTCAAAGAAAATAGGATTAGTAGCAATACTGATACCCATGTAACAAAGTAATAAATAATAGTTTGGATACAGATAATTGCAATTAAATATCATGAATTGATGTGCCTGAGCTATCCTATGTCTTTCTGCCTCCAACTTTGTTGTAAATCATAAAATACACATTGCACTCACAGCTGTAGGCAGACAGGCAACGGCTAAGCTGAGATATTAGAGCTGATCCCTGTTTGTAGCCAGTGGCGGGGTTCTGTTGGAAGTAGGAAAGTGTTTCTGTGGTGTAGGCAGTATCTTTGTGTTGGGAAGGGTTAGACCCTCTGCCAAGTTTTATTGCTCACCAAGGGATGTGTATACAACTCATCCCACATATGGGGTACAGTATATAATAATTTCAACAGAAGGTTGTGGAGACTAATGCCTTCGTATCAAAGGAACCTCCATATAAAAAGATTATGTATTATGTGCAAATCTTGTGTGTATAAAGAGGTATTGTTATATGTACTGGAAAATGCTAAAAGTGATTGTAAAGGCACATTTTTCTTTTTTTTAAATAACAATCATGTTATACTTACCTGCTCTGTGCAATGGTTTTGCACAGAACAACCTTGTTCCTCCTCTTCTCAGGTCCCCCACCAGTGCTCCTGGCCCCTCCCTCCTGAAAAGTGCCCTCACAGAATGCAGCTTTTTATGGGGGCACCCAAGCAGGCTCGCTCCTGAGCCACTGCTCTGGGTGTTCATTCACACAGAGATGCAGCTCGGCCCTGCTCTCTCCTCATTGCCTCACTGGCTGTGATAACATGAGGAGGGAGAGACTCCGGACAGCTGAGTCTCTTTTACACATCACTGGATCGAAGTGGGGTTTAGGTAAGTATTGGAGGGGAGCTGCACACAGAAGGTTTTCTACCTTCATGCATAGAATATATGAAGGTCAAAAACCTTGAGCCTTTAAGGGCTTGTTCACACTAATTTCTGACGCCAAATGCCCCTATAGCTTTTGACAGGTGCTTGGGAAGTGTTTTTAACACTCCTCAAATGCTCCCCAAACGCCCTATGCGCGTTTTTGAGGCGTTTGCCAAGCATTAAAATTGCACCACAAACGCCTATAATAAAGTTTAATGGTATTAACTCTCCTCAAAGGCCTTGGAAACGTCCCGCAAAGGCCTGCCAGGAGCGTCACCATAGACTTGAATGGAAGGCTTCAATTCCTCCTGATTCGACATGGGGCGTCAATTTTGCTACAATGCTAACGCTTCCGTGTGAACAGCACTGTGTGCTGCCATGTGTAGAATGTTCGTAGACCTTTGAGGAGTGTTAAAAACGCTTCCCTAACGCCTGCTAACAAAGCTAGTGTGAACATAACCTAAAACCACTTTAAATATCTTCACATAATCCAATTGAGGCTTTGGTGATTGATTCTTGTAGTTCTATAACTTGTAACATCTATTTCTTAATCATTTAAAGCACTGATCCAGCCACTGATTCCGTATAGTAATACATTGCAAGATATTGAACTGGACAAACTAATTATAGAATTCAAATGGTAGCTATTGGATCTTATATAGGTACATAACCTGCAATGACATAAACTGATGATGGTATATACCTAAATTGAGGTCCTAGATTATATGGGGACAAACTTTGTATTCTAGAGGCATGATGGGTAAAAGACTGCTCATGTTCAAATACGGTAGATGTATTTATGTGGATATGTTATATGTGAAAGAAATACACATATGTTAAAGCAACAGAAAACAGCTGTGATTTAGTGCTCGTTCACACGAGAAAAGACCCACATTCTGTGCCGATATCCTGCACCGCATTTCAATTACACTGCCTTTGCAATCTGCAGCAGGTGTCAGAGCAAAGTCAGTGACACCCCAAATGTAGTGCGTTTGCTCTTACCGGATCGCACACGATCTGGCTGCAGTGCGTTTCCAAAAGAGGTGCATTCACTACTTTTGGTGCAGTGCAGTGCAATTTTAGCCCATTCTAAAATGGGGAGGGGCTTTGACGTCACGACGCTCGATGGTTCCATACTGACACCAGCTGGCAATTTTAGGATATTCACCACTGAAAAAAATCTGGAGGACATATTTTGTGCACAAAGCGGTTTATATACAGATTATATGTGAGTGCAATCTTTTTATTAATAAAACAGTTTTAAAAGGATGATACACTAGGATTTGATTTATTCCTCTATAACAACCACCATGGAAGGGGAGCCCATCAATTAAGTGGAGGAGGACCCCAAACAGCAAGATACTATCCCATCTATACTCTGGGCCATTTAAAGGGACATAAGCGTTATATGACCTCACTTAATGGTTTGGTCATATACTTGAGGTGAGAGCACAACCGGTGGGGGAGCACACAAATGAAAGTTTTTTTCACACAAAAATTCAAATAAGAGGCACGGCATATCCTATTCTACAGTGAACTTTGCACGTTTGAAGAAGTTTATATATGGACCTTTTTTTTTTTACTGTTTTTGACAATTATATGGACACTGTTTTTGGCATATTGAAATTGGTTTATTCACTTGTCTTATTTTCATACCTCTTTAATATAAATAGTAGCAATTTGTATGCATATATCATTTATTTTGAGCATTTATAAGTGAAGCGCGGCACATTTTGGAAAATAGTATTGGTTTGGCACACTAGTATGAGTATGTGTTCGGTACAGGTGATTCACAATCAACACTAAGTAGTAATTATCACTTACATAGCAGCTCACAAGCTTCCATTTTTCAGCCCATGCAAAATGAATGGGCTTAAGCTGAACTACTCAGAACTGCATTGCAATCGCACAGGAACACTGTGTGGTTCCTGTGCGATTCACAGTTCTTAGTGTGAATGGGCCCTAAAACAAATGACTAAATATAAATGCTCAGTGCCAGCAATGGTGCAACTGGTTAAAGCAAACCTAGTCTGTAGTCAGAAAAATGTAAGAAAGGCTCCAACAGATTGAAGCAGAACTACGAGTATGAATCAGTAGATGTATTGTGATAGATTCAGTCCCAGCAGCTTAAATGCCCCTCTAAAGACACCTAGTGCCGAAATGCATCAGCAATGTGGTTCCATTGAGGTTCACCCATCAAGGTATTTTGATATTTGCATAACTCTTCCAAAGAGCCAGCCCATTGCTTTCATTAGGGCTAAAGGTTCTTGAAGAAGTACAGAGGCATGTGTTGTGATGATTCTAGGAAGCTGATGTACATCACCTGCCAGCCCCTCCCACCTTCCATGATCGGCTTGCTTTACAGGAGAAGCACAGAAACTCAGTGATGACATAAGGGTGTGTAATGAGTTATCATTGTCAGCTATCACTATACTGCCGGCTTTCTGACAGGAGTGATGCTGCTTTCACACACAGCAGCCACTCTGCCTGTCCCTCCCCTTCACTGTCCATTCACAGAAGGCTTTGCATTGAGTGAATGGGTTCACATAATACAAAATGTTCTGTGATTGGGCAAGTGAGTGGCTTAGATCTGGTCTTCCTCTGTGTTCTGATCTTCAGCTATTGTGATTGGCCAGGCCAAGATGACACCACTCCCACACATACGCAGTCTATTCATCTTGGCAGATGGCAAAATTGTACACTGATCTGCATTAGAAAACCTTCCTGTTCACAAGCTCTGATCTCCTGGCAGTGTCTTAAGCCTGGCTCGAATCTCAGCCAGTTCAGCAGGTACCAGCCTAGATTTGATCCATCCATGGGCAGGATGATTGTACCCAAGTTGATCAATTGATTTGTAGCATCTGATAATTGCCAGCAGCTATAGCCACTAGAAAAAAAATCACTTTTCTTCCAGCAGGGACAGTTCCCAGTGCCCCCCTCCCCTACAGCACAATAGCTCTATAGGAGGTATTCCCCCATAGGATGATGGGTGAATCGAGCAATTTTCTTTCCTGCAATCGTATCATCTATGGCCTGCCTTACAGGGAGGTCTTTTTTTTTTTGTTACTGCAGCAGGCAGGGCCATTCTGCTAATGCACCATTTTAGATCAAATGCCTATTATGACCGGTGTTCCCCTTTACTTCTCTGCCTAATTCTTTTCATTGGGAGAGTATGTTCTATAACTACCACACCAATGATGCAGTATAATAAACTGATCTGCTAGTATATGCACACCATTTCCTGTATGCAGGAAACTAATGGGTCTGCTTATCAATGTTTTTCACCCAAGATTTACACTAATAGAAACATATGTGAATACTGGGTGAAAGTGTGGAAATCTTGGCAGAAAACACATTAACAATTAGACCTCTATGCATTTAATTATTATTGGTTCTTACATGTTTTACAATGTATGGTCATGTGATCCTGGCTTCAAATAGTTAACCTGCACTAAAATAGTTACCTTCCTCACTGTGCGGCCACAACTAGGTACTGTACCTTGTACACACTTGCTCTGCTACCCTTTATATTCCTATGGGTGGTTTGTAACTTCTCTGGATAGCTGGAGGCCACCATGAGTATATGCACCCTAACAATGAGCAAATCTTTTGCTCTGTTAAATATTCCATTGAAACGGTTTTGTTCTGTAAGTGCAAAAAAAAAATACCTGTTGATCTTACGTATGTTATGGAGATGATGAGAGATAGAAGATGTTTTGTAGTCCAAATCCGAAGCAGGCAGCCTAGAGTAACAATGCTGCTCCTACATAGTCACAGTACAGTGAGTGAGTATTGTCACTTAGGACAGGAAGCATGTTCCTGGAAGAAACACCAGGTAAGAATAAAGGAAGGAAGACCTAAAAAAAGAAAACTAATGCACTCACCACATCAAAGGACTGGTAAACTGATCAATATATAACATTTTTGTTCATGGGTTTAGATACACTTTAATACATTTTTGCTCATTTTAAACACAACACAAGACAATCAGTCATCACTAGTACACTTGAAGATGCTTCTCCTTGCTTTTATTTGTATTAGTAATTCGATTTGGTCACAGGACAGCACAAATAAATACATGTAGCAGTGTAGTACGCGCGCACTCTCTCTGGCAGGGTGGAAAGGTATCTTGTTTGTCTGGAACAGGCGAGATACTCTACTTCTTGGGGGCAGCTCCAATAGCTGCCTTCTCTTCACGAGTGATTGGGATAGAGCGTTCAGGGACATCAGCCTGTTTCCTGGGTCCACACACTGTCAGCACTCCATCTGGGGACAAGGATGAAGTGATGGATAGGGGATCAACATCCACTGGGATTTTATATCTTCTCTGGAAGTCTCTGGTAACATAGCCATGCTCATCCTGGGAAAAATATCCCCAATTAGTTGTAGTCCAAGATAAATTTTATATCATGTTTTTGCATTGATCAAGTATCTGTAATTATGTCAATTCAACTTTATATGACATCTAGTTAGATAAATACTTAGGTTGTAAAAAGACACATGCCCATTGAGTTCAACCAAAAGATGAAATTCTATAAATAAACAAAACAACATCTCATATCATCAGAACCTTAAATCTACAGCTAATTCTAAGCAAGGCAACAATATCCTATCCCTGCACACACCTTGCTGTTTCACCTATATCTCACTGTCAAGGTACGCATTGGTCTTTCCCATGTATCCAAACCACCAACACACACATTGGTCTTTCCCATGTATTCCACCATCAACACACACATTGGTCTTTCCCATATATCCCAACCCAGATACACACCTTGGTCTTTCCCATGTATTGCACCACTAGCAAACATATTGGTCTTTCCCATGTACCCCACCACCAGCACACATATTGGTCTTTCACATGTACCCCACCACCAGCACACACATTGGTCTTTCACATGTATCCCACCACCAACACACCTGTTGGATTTTCTCATGAATCCCACCACCAGCATGCACATTGGTCTCTCCAAAGTATCCCACCACCAGCACACACATTCGGTGTTTCACCTGTATTTGCCACCAGCACACGCATTGGTCTTTCACCTATAACCCGCAAATCAACATACACATTGGTCTTTCCCATGTGTCCCACCACCAGCAAACACATTGGTCTTGCTCATGTATGCCACCACCAGCACACACATAGGTCATGCCCATGTATTCCACCACCAACACACACATTGGTCTTTCCCATGTATCCCACCACTAACACACACATTAGTCTTTCACATGTATCCCACCACCAACACACACAGGGGCGGACTGACAACTCATGGGGCCCCCGGGCAATAGGGGATCATGGGGCCCCTGAGTACTTGCCCACACTCAAAGAACACCCAAAAAAGCCTATAAAAGGTACCAGGGGCATTTCATGGGGCCCCCTACTGACCCTGGGCCCTCGGGCAGTGCCCGAGTACCCGAATGGTTAGTCCACCCCTGAAAACACATATTGTTCTAACAACATGAATCCCACCACCAGCCCACACATTGTTAAATGTTGTCTTTCACAAGTATCCCACCACTAACACGCGTGCTGATCTTTCTCATGTATCCCACCACCAGCACGCATATTGGTCTGTCCCATGCTGTATATTCTACCATCAGCACACACATTGGTCTTTCCCATGTATCCCACCACTGGCATGCACATTGGTATATCCTATGAATCCCACCACCAGCATGCACATTGGTCTTTCCAATGTATCCCAACACCAGCACACGCATCGGTCTTTCCCCTTTATCCTGCCACCAGCACACACATTGGTCTTTCACCTGTAACCCATCACCAGCACACACATTGGTCTTTCCCCTTCACCCTGACCCAAACACATTCATTGACTTTCTTTGTATCTCACCCCCGGCTCTCACACTTTACATTGCAGTATTCAACGGTTTCAGTGAGATGGCCCCTCTAGTACACAGAGCTACCCCTCATATATCTTGTATAGTGTAAAATAGAGATTATTGCACACATTTAACTCTCACCATTCATTAATGTGCAGAGGGCTATTGGAGGATGCATCAAGTCATATTCAGATAAATAGAGTTATGGATATGGATATCTTGGAATGTGAAGAACACCAATGTAAAACCAATGTAATGAAACCATTTTTGGAATGATAATGTCACCCTAATACTGGAACTTGTTACATCCCATGTTAAATTATTATTGATTCATAAACACATATGTTCCATATTTATATAGCCAATTTGGAATCATAGTGTAGACCTGTGTGATTCTGGTGAAGTCACTGTCACCCCCAGATTGCTGAAGCCTTACCCAAAAGATTGTTTACACCAAAATATTATAAATCACTAATTGGTAATGGAATTTACACTTAAAAAACAACCAAATGGGCAAAGTGACAGGATTCTGTCCATAAAAACATCTGTTGTCTGCACACCATGGACTGATGAGTATGGATCAATGGTGTGCTGGCAACATATGTTCTTATTTATGCTAATTCCAGTCTACCTGTTGGAATTTACTACAGGACCCACCTACTTAAAGCTGTGCTCAAAAATGTATGAGATGGGAATATATTGAGGGTTTGTGTTACGTCCCACCCATCAAGTTATACTTACCTCGTCAGTGATCCCCCACCTTTCCTCATTCCAAAATACCTAGTATTGGGGACTGAAGGGAGCCGAATCATCACCCCCTCCATCAAGTGACAGTGACTTACCAATCAGCCTGAACATAGGAGCAAGTCACATGCTGCCCCATGCCTGGACGCACCAGGTATTTTACCCCAGCTGCATTAGAGAAACGAAAAGCAAGGGGATTCCTGGAAAGGTAAGTATAACTGGGTTGGAGTGATGGGCATTACATGGGCAAAGTGATAATGTCTCTTACTGCAACACACCATTCCAAATTTTCCATTTAAGGAATGGGCACACTTTTCTTCTTTTTTTTTTTAAATAAATACTAATATTCATTGATACATGTAACAGTGTGTTAGAAGAATATTCCGCATTTTCACAGCTTGTAAAGAACACTTTCTATGTGCCAATATAAATGTACATTTTTCGAATAGATAGGGACAGCACACCCCTGATAATCGCACCATCACCTGCAGGTGCATAGTTAAAATCGTCTTTCAACTAGACAAAAGATCCAAACTCTGACTAGTGCCTCTAGTTATCTGCTGAGCCCCAGATGGGCCAAAACACATAATCAGGAACCTTTTATGTGAATGACATAATGGAAGGTAAATTTGGCTATGGATAACCTGGGTAGTTAGTATTGGTAAGCATATTTTATATAAATATGTGGGAGCTATACTGGTGCCATTGTGTGGTCCATGAAATAGTCTACAGTATCCACATAAGGATCGCTCACCCGCCCGCAATGCACTGCAGATCAGTGGCCCATAAAAGGCACAGCGATGTACCTGTACATTGCTAACTTTTCCCAAGCACACCTCTGCTGATTGCATACAATCAGTTTGTCAGCAGGTCCCGGCCAAGTGATTCATGGTTGGGACTTGCTAATGGGCTGTGTCCACTCACAACCCACAGCCCAGAGCCCTGTGTTGAAAACCAGACAGTGCTCTGTACAGAGGGAACGATCTCTTTGTTTCTTCTCCCTGCAAAGGAAAAACCAGCACATAATACACACATTAAGCCTTTTAGGCATACACTTAACCCCTTGAATACCCTGAGATGTTAACCCCTTCCCAGCCAGTGTCATTAGTACAGTGACAGTGTATAGTATTATCACTAATTACTGTATTAATGTCACTGGTGATGTCAGTCAGTTCCCATCCAGTATCAGTTAGTGTAAGATTGCCTGCAGCACAGTCCCACTGTAAGTTACTGATCACCTTCATTAGTAGTAAAAAAACAACACACTATAACTTTCACACAAACCAATCAATATATACTTATTGGGATTTTATTTTACCAAAGATGCAGCAGAATACATTTAAATTTATAAAGAAATTTGATTTTTTAAAAATTGTTTTAACATGTTAAAATAACACTTTTGTATATGTTTTACAGCAGAAAGTAAAAAATATTAGTTTTTTTTTTTTCAAAATATTTGATCTTTTTTTATTTATATAACACAAAAACAAAGCAAAAAAAATAGTGGTGATCAAATACCACCAAAAGAAAGCTCTATTTGTGTGAAAAAATGGTATAAATTTTGTTTAAGTGCAGCATTGTGTGACCTCACAACTACCAGTTAAAGTAGAACAGTGCTAAATAGGAAAAAATGGCCTTGTCATGAAGGGGGTAAAACCTTCCGGAGCTGAAGTGGGTATATACCGTATAATGAGTATATTGTAGAGCTGCCATGTTTGAATAGCCTTAGACTGCACAGAAAGAGATTACTTCAGTACTCCTGATTTAGCCCCAAAAAGAGAACTGGTCTAGGTACAAATATGCAACTACTAACCATTTTCCATTTTTAGAAGGTGCATGCTTTAAGTGAGTCACTACCATGAAGCAAACATTTCCATATCAGTTGTCTCTACTCCTGGTATACAGCTAATGTGCCAAGTAATAAAGAAAGGATAATGATGATAGCCCAACAACACGACCTTTCAATATTAAGTGGCAGTACCCACTGATTGGTCCTACATGACCCTTTGATGTCTGACATACAAATCTCTAAGAGCAGATTGGGCTAGAGATAAGCGAGATTGCTGACATCACGTATTTTATGACAGCACTACAGAAAGATTGTGGGATTAGATTCTCATCAATACTGGGACAAATTACAATGTATTGTCTCTTCCTGATTACAATCAACCAGAAAGTAGACATAATGGTGAAGAGTAGTTCATGTCCAAGGGACCAGGAACAGCATAAAGAATTTTAGGACACAAGTCGTGGCAAAGTGTGTGGCAATAAAGTTTATAGATGTGCAATTTACCTGACGCTCCTCGTGCTTTCCATGGATTTCAATGAAGTCTCCTGACACTTTCACTTTCAGCTCTTCAGGAGAGAAATGTTTGACATCAAGGTTAACAGAGAATTTATCCTTCTCTAATCTCATCTAAGGGAGTAAAACGCAATATAATCAGCTTACATTCAAGCCAGACCAACAATAAATTCAAAAGTTTTTTGTATCCACATTTATATCACAAGAAAGGTGAATAACCTATGAAAAATGGAAACCCTACATCATTTTTTCTGTATGTAAAAAAAAAAGTATGCTTATTAAAGGGCTGAGAACATCTGCTGCACAGTAACTTTATCGTACTGTAATTTCAGTTTATCATCTTGCTTTATAGTTAGATAGTTTATAACTAGTCCTTTTTGCTAAATATATAAACACTTCTTGTCAGGGACCATCGCGACGCATGGGTCTGCACATGCGTAGGTGTCTGTCAAGACATGCAGGCAGCAGGGCACTAGGACCCAGGTGCACCCGTCACCTATGACAGCGCTGGGCAGGCACTAGGACCTAGGCTGCACCTGTCAGGCGCAGGGCGGGCTACTTAAACCAGCCCTGCACAGACACAAGTTGCCTTATGGTCTGATCTTGTTCCTGTGATCTGTGAATTGATTCCTGACTGTTGCTGACCTTTGCTTGAACCTGACCTTGCTGATATTCTCCTGCCCTGACCCTCTGGCTCGTTTGACTACTCTTCTGGATATCCCTTCTGATCTGAACTACTGTTACCAGACCCGGCGAGTGACCTGATTCCTCTGTGCCTGCTGTCTTGTACCACGCTGTCCGCCCGTTACCAACCCTGCCCGTCTGACCAAGCTATTGCTCAGCCATCCATCCGACCCGCACGGATTAGCTGATGTTCTCCAGACCTGTCTGCCTCTTCACTCCAGGCTCTCCACCTGTCATTACCTCAGGTGATTCCTCTACCTCAGGTGGGTGTACTCAGGGGCCGCGACCTGGTCACTGTCCACTCCAAGCCCATCCCCACCATCAGGGGCTCTGGTGAACAAGCAGACTGGGGCTTAGACTCTGCGCCCTGGGGAATCCTGTCCTGTGGACTGCTAGAGTACACCAGGTGGTCCATAACACTTCTCCTTCAAGTTTTGCTACCCCCATTTAGAATAAAATGTTTTATAAGCAGGGCCCATTTGCTTTGTAAATTGCTACATATAAAGATATACAGTGTAAACAGCTACAAAACATGTCATATAATATAAAAAATAAATTATATATAATAGTTATATAAATTAGACTAAAAGTTTATAGTGCACATTGATTTAAAGGGATGGAATATTGGTTCTATATCTTTTTTTCTTTTGTCATTTTTGTATTTATTTAAGTATTTTTCTTTTAGGCATGTAAATATTTAATAAAGCATTATAAAGTTTAGCATAATTGTAGCAAGCAGGGAAAGCTATAGGTTCCTTTTTACGTTTTCATCGGTCTCATTTGTCCCTTTATTGTGAAAAGCCTGTTGTTTACACAGTTCAACAGCTTATTCCCTTGTTATTGGCAGGAGCTGGCCCTTTAAGTGGGCCGTGACACCAGTGGACAGTTAGTGGAGCTCCAGTTCATTTGTTTATTGTGGCTGCACATTGATCAGGAACCCATCCTATCAGCTCCCAATCATTGGTAGTTGACTATGACCTGTTGGTTACAGCTCAGTCACAATTCTGAGGGCACAGATGGATCATGCCCCACAACAATAAAGCGGCGCACATATGCAGCAGTTGGGCATCAAGGCAAACCTGCCGTTCTCTTGCATATACAGTTTATTATGCTGTCATAAAAGGGGTTAAGCTGAAATCTACATTTACATGTGAATAACTCTTTGCAGTGACACATCACTTATTGGATGGATGTATCCAAGGTTTCAGTCAGACAAAGCTAGCCTCAAGGCAGGCTGATACTGTGCTGTCTTTTAAGAATACCCATGGTACTCTCTGGGAATCCTTTGATTTATATATACACATACTGTATGGTGAGGACCAAAAGCCTGAAACAAAGCTTTCCAGATCGCTGTGGTAGTGGGTTTTGTGAAATAACCCTCTACTTTACAATGACTAAGATCTCGTAGACTGATTTTTTGTTTTCCCTTTCAGTGATCAGTAGATGATGACATGGCATTGTTATAAAGAGGGTATTGTACTTGAAATATGAAATCCCAGTTGTGTTGTTTGTACAACAGTAATGTCATGACTAAGTGAATTGCTATCTTTGTGATTACAAGGGAAGAGAACAAGAATTTTCTATTATGCAGTCACTGAATGGGGCTATTACTTATGTAACTACATTCAGAACTGTATGTATAAGACTAAACTGCAGGTTTTCATAGAATATTTTGTTCGTCTGTAAATCAGAACATGCTGAAGCCAAAGACAGCCAGGTAACTAGTATTCTTAGAAGGAAATCAGCAACTACAGTTCTTGAATTTCTTTAAAGTAGAACTATAAGAAAAACCTTTTTCGTTTTAAGATAGAGTAAGGGAGGGTTATAACTTCTGTCATTTTTTTGCCATCTGTGTCCTATTGGGGAAAATACCCCTTCACTTCCTATCTCATAACCAGGGCAGGAAGTGAGAGGAAATCCTTTCCAAAGCGAGGGAATCCCAGCAATAAAACCTGGCAGGTGTTCTGATCCCTCTCCACTCTACCCTAAAGAAAAAGTTTTGTGGTTAGTTATATTTTTAACACTTGTTTGTTGCAATATTTAGTGTATTTATTGCATGCTGTACTTTAAGAGTTATGATTGTGAAGGTGAAGTATGGCCAGAGCTTCTTTGCTCATATTTCTCTTCTGAGTACACTTACTCTTGCTCTTCTGTGACCCAGAGACAGATTATAGTAAGCTTTTATCAGCTGCTGGTTGACGTCACAGAGCCAGGCTCTGAAAGGATCCTGACCATATTGTCGGGAACCAACCAGTTGTGTGTTTGACAGCTGGCATGGCTTCAGCGCACAAATGAGAGCCAAAGCCAGCTGTGCCTGCCCACTTTTCAGCCTAGTAGCTCCAGTGAGCGCTGGAGTGGCAGAGGAGAGAGCTGTCACTGCTCTCCGATCTGAGAAGACAGAGAAAGGAGTGAGCAGTGGTCATGTGATTACTCAGTTCTTGGTCTAAGAGTCAACATGGGAGAGCTGCAGCATCACACCAATGCTGCAACATAGAGGTGAGTATATATGTTTTTTTTTTAAATTCCTATACTTCTCCTTTAACACTCCTTCAACACTCAGACAATCCATCCATTTATCAACAGCTTTAGTGTGTATAACAGCTTAAGCTTTCATAATATTATCCACATAATTTTTTATTTCAAGCATCAAGATCTCAGCATCTGAGTTCACAAATTTGCCTACCTATCTCATCCTTTTCTGACTCTGCTGTTTATTATTATGAAGGCTGCAGAAGGAGGGGCACTTCATGATGGAGGCAGCAGCTGGTAAATCCCAATGCTGGAATCCCCAGCATGGATAAGAGGCCAAAAAGTGTTCCAGACCACCATTGCCCTCCTATAATTTAAACAACAGTTTTAAACAGTCTGTTTAAAATTTAAAGTACGTGCTATTTAGTTACTTGCTGCTAAACTATCACCATATTTTAATCTGTAATTAAAACAGACAGTTGCCCCTAATTTTCATTTTAAGGTGCCTGCTGGGGAGCTGAGTCACCCTATGTTTTTCTACCTCTCTCAAAATCTTGAAATTTCTCTGATGGAGTTCTGGTCTCCACAACCCCCTAGTTGTGACTCAGAACTCAAAAGAAGTGGTAAAGTTAGGTGTAACTGAGAATTTAGGAGCAAAAGTCTTCTCATGGGAATTGCTCTACGGAAATAAAAAGCAAAGGGGATTGAACTCTAAAATGTGCATATCAATTCTCAATATATCCTTTAAATACACTTTTGTGTAATGCACCAAGATAATCATTCTGCCTGGAATATATTTTGCTAGCAGACATCAAAAACCTGAAAGTGAAGATAATTACATAAGAGTCCCATAACATGGCTGTACTGTGTGATGTTTCCTTGCTTAATCAGTGAAAAAGAAATGACTTGGGAAGTGTTTTAGGACATGCTGTTGACATACAATGTAAGATTGGGCAATACCATGTAATGTGATCCATGTGTAATAAAAAGGGACTTTCTTGGCGACAACTGACTTAGGACTGTATGATAGCTCAGCAATGTTCCCCTCTGTAAACATAGGTCCAAAACAAACGTATTATATTATCAGAAAATACATGTAGAAGTTAAATAAGAGTATTTTAAGGCAGAAAATATATTATGCAATAGACTCTCCTTTTGTCTAATCGTAATAAAAGAAATAAGATGACAGTTACATCTGTAAAATTTAAAACATAGTCTGTTAAATTCCATTTCAGTCGTTACACAATGTATGCATTAGGCTATGTAATGCACATCTAAACTCTGGGGATAAACAACAAGCTGCAAAGGGTAAATTCCAGTAACCCTTAGTACCAATCTGATTTCAGCATTTAACTCTTGCTATCAGTTAATGTGCCATATCATGTACAATGATTGCTATTGCAATTTGAATTGAACAATAAAAATTAATTTACTACTTTAATTTTCTTGAACTACCACTACTAATCCTTACTGCAGCATTAAATCAGCAAAAAAGTAACAATTTGTCATTGTCGATACTCATTTTATGGCCATTTCTTTAAACATGAAATATTTACATTTATATAGTTCTTACAAGTTTAGCAAGCATCAAAATGAATATAGAATGTATATTCTATATTCATTTTGATGCTTGCTATGGTTTCATTCAATAGGTAAAAGAAAAAGTCTTCATTCTGTACCCTTGTTCCTCTACAGTCCACTTGTTGCCTCTTTCTATTCAGCATAGGCAATATGTAGAATTATCTATTGTTACATTTCAGAACTTGATTTCAAATTAATTGTACTTCTTTGCATAGATACTCAATGCTTTGGAAATGAAAGAGATTTAAACTTAGTTCTGCATTACCCCAAAAGGCTGCAATGCAAACTGCACAGCTGCTCTTTAAGAGTGCATATATAACAGTACTAATAAACATGGCGTAGTTTATAACCCAGCACATTCAATAGGCACGCAGCTGGGGATTACCTCTGACAAGCCACTTTCGATCCAGGATGGTAGTCTGAGAAATGGATATTTGAAGTAGAATGGGGACAGTACTGAAGATGGAAACAAATCAGCTTCTTGGAGGTGCTCCCCAAAACACTGTTCAAAGATCCTGTTTGGTCCAAAGAAGGAGTAAAACTGGCGACGAAACCAGGGGGGGTGTTGGATAGTTATGTCCATCTTCTGACTTCCAATGACAGCTGTCAGAGAGAGAACCACTCAATGTTGGAACTACCCAACAATCCAAATGGTCTTATATACAAAATGGTCCACCTTGGGCTCCTCCCTGGTACCCCAACATTGAACTTTCTAGAAAAGAGTTGTCAGATGGATTAATTATGCCACCACGCTTGCCTGCTCCCATTCAGTAGTTAGATGTAGGATATAAGTAGTGACACATCCTCTATTCAGTCCGCATCCCATTGGATCAGCAAGAAGAGTTTCTGATTATGTCTGTGCCCTCTCTCTCAGTGTTTGCACATTGGATTAACAGAAAAACAGACAGGGGGATCATTTCAGCTACTGTTCTGTAACATGACAAGGGATGAGTTCATTCTCAGATGTAACAGCAGATAGTGTGATCCCTGCTTGCTGCAGACAGAGAGTAGCTTATTCATTCCAGTACCGTTCTGAATATCTCAGCACTGGCCCTTTTCCCTTCTGTGGGTTTACTTAGCATACAGTGGGCTGGAGACTGTTATTTGTCCTCTGCTTATAGAGACTAATGCATTGTTGACCACCTCTGGTTTCCCTTGGGATTCATTCTGTATTATATTGCATACATTACCCAGGATTGTGTTCTTTAAATTAGTGGCATTTTTTTCCATGTTACTACAATCAAAACAGTTTTAGTACTGACTTTTTAGTACTGACTAGATACAGACTTAAGCTTAACTGAAATACTGTTGTGATGTCATCCATTAAAGAAAACCTGTACTGATTTAGAAATTCAGACTGCCCACAGCTAACCTCCTTCTGAAAAGGCTAGCTTCCTGGCTGTATTAGATGTGGTCACCGACACAGAACAAGCATACGGCATATGAAAGTATGATGTACCTTCTTGCACAATCAGCAATCATTGGAGATGGTACATTTGATAAACACTGTATTTTAGGGCCCATACCTACACATTGGTGATTGGTGGAAGGAGTAGCAGACAATGATAAGAGAAGTGAAGCTACCTTCTGATAACCATTCTGTACTGCTAATTGAAATATACACCCCTATATTTTGTAAATCGGAACCAAACCCATCAGTTTACCTGTTTCCCAAAACAGTTACATTGCAGGCATGTCATGAATTATAAATGTCACAGTTGCTTGTACTCTGAACCAAACTGTCAAGCCATCAAATGGCTGGCGTCATAACTGATCACATGTGCACCACCATGGCAAGTGCAGATCAAACAGAAACTAAAATGTCAGCTGTAGAGTGATTCCTAAGATGATCTCCTGAGCACACCTGATATTTCTGAATATTTAGGTTAAGGGATTGGTTCACACCAAAACATGGTATGAAAAAGGCATGTTTCCCACACCATACAAAAAAGTGGCAACCATCCCAACTATTATCTGGTCTTTGTAGCAAACTGCACATGGAAGGGCAATGTAGATCACAAACAAAGGATTTCCCAGCACACTTACCCGATAGCCTGCAAAACAACCGAATTGACCCCATCTAACAGTTTACATTTAAAACAGAGGGTTTTGTTGGCACATATTTGCAAATATATGCATAAGCTGCAGTGCCCATGCCAAAGGGTTGGTTGCTACTTTTTTGTACAGTTGGACAAATTGGTTTATGGTTTTAAGTGCACTTTCATGTAAAAATAAACAAAAACAAAAATGTGTATTTTAGCAAATGTGTGGAAAATTATAAAATGTCTCTGTCAGTGAAAGGGTTGAAGCAAACCTGTTAGTTGCTTAAAAAATAACTGAAAGGTCAGTTTCCTGCAATAGAAGATCTGTTTTTTTCCAGTCTCCTGCAGTCTGCATCTCCATTCAAAGCTACAGCCTTTCTAGACCACTTCAGCATTCAACACTTAAAGGTATGTTGGATGCGTATGTCCCCCTGCTGTATACTGTGGTTTGATCCTCCAACCCCTATGTCAGCACAAGACCTGGAGTGACATATTGGTCAGAGGATGTAACCACAGCATGTTGTGAGAGACATGGGCATCCAATGGGATTGTCTAATGCTGCAGAATTTGCAGCGGTGGAATGGAGTGATGATAGGACGCATTGACTGTCTGAGCAGTATTTATGGCAGCTCTTCCAAGGCAGGGCCTCAGTTTTTTGTTAAGAAACATACATTTAACCGCTTTTTAGAAATAAGGGGTCTAACTCAAAAGGTGAGCACATGCTTCGGGTGGTTTGCAAGCACATAGGGTAGGAAAAGAAAATATAAAGGTCTGGAGGAAACAATGCTTTTGGGAATGACTGTATTTTTGCACATGAAGCGCTATTGCAGTTCTCTATATAGAATAGTGTATTTGTAGTAGATTGAGTTGTTTCACAATAAGCATGCAGCACTTTATTATTATATGTTGGTATAAAGCATAATGTTTATGGACTATTTGCAGCACTTTATAAGGACCGGGTTAAGTCAATATAATATTAGAAGCACCTTATGACTGTTCTGCTTCCCCAGTCTAAGCATTGCAAGTGTGATCTCTATAACTCATCCAGTTAAGATGCAATAGCTGTAACTTATGTAGCATCAGGGCCTGTGTTAGACTATTTTGCATCCTAGGCAAGACCAGCTACTTGCGCCCCCCCCCCAAAAAAAAAAATTATATTTAAACAGTAGAAAACTTTAAACCAACAACAAAACATGAAACTGCTAAATTTCTTTCATTTGCAAAAATACGTGCCATAAGATGCCACCAGCACCAATATTAAAGACAAAATCATGTTATGGATGGACTGTATCTGTAGATGAACGTGACAGGGTGACAGTTGCAGTGAGTGGAGGATGATGGATCCACAATGTTTGAACTGGATGGACTTTTGTCTTTTGTCAGCCAGACTAACTATGTAACTGCTGGGAAGGCCACCTGAGCTGCTGCTGAATAACACTCTGACAGATCCCAGGCTAGAATTCACCAGGCAATGGGGGGAGATAAAATGCTGTGACAGCAGGCAGCTGAATTAAGAGATCCCACACAGTGACAGATCCGACTCAACACACCACCAATGACACACATCCGCAGGCACTAGAAAAGCAGGTTGTGGTATTGTGATGATGTCATTGCACATGTGATGGATGTCCAGCTGTCTGGGGTCCACTCACACAGACATGAGACACCAGAGTCAGACATTACCTTCCTTCGCAGGCACCACCTCTGCCTCTGCTGATGAATGGGAAGAGAAGGGCTGGAACTCCACAATGATCAGCAGCCGCCAGCCAGTTTTCAGTAAGGGACTGAGTCTGAGAGGAACACTGGAAGGAGTGGCAGCTCAGCTGCTACACTGGCCCAGACACCCGGCATCTTCCTCTGTCATTTCTTCCTCCCCTCTGCTGCCCTTCCTCTCAGCTAAAGGATCATTCATTAAGTTGCGGCATCCCACACAGAGAGAGTGCCGGCCTGTGCTGCGCACAGGCACCCTTAGGAGACAGTGTGCCTTAGGCGGCCACCTAGTTTACCTAGTGAAAGCACTGGCCCTGTGTAGCACCCTTTAGTTTAGGTAGGATCGTTAAGGTTAGTTAGAGGCTTGTCAGAAGCCTGGGTATGAGTCAGCCTGGGAGCCAGTCAGCGAGGTCACTTCAGGTTAGGCTGTGAGGCTCTACAGGTCACGGCTTCTGGAGCCCTTCCTTTCTTCTAGAATCTACTGGCACTTTCTAGAAGAGAGGCGGAGTTGGCCTAGGTTTGCACATTTGAGGGAACCTGGCCACGTCTCAGGCAGGAGGCCTGGCATAGTGACTAGGACAGCCCTTAAATATGGGAAGGTGTGGCGGGTGTGGAGCCTGGTAGGAGGCCCCAGCAGAGGGGGACCTGCTTACATGCTGAAGATGGACAGAAGGACCATTGTCCCTCAGTCTACTTAGGAGAGACAGCCTGTCAGAAGGGAAGGAGCCAGACCAGCATAAGACCTGAAAACTGCTGCAACTCATTAAGCTACAGTAACAGGACAATGTGAGTACTTCCACACCACATGGGCCAAAGAAGGGAAAGGGTGGTCAGGTGCAATATCCAACTAGTTCTCCCTGAGACTTCTTCATTTTTAGATCTTGGAATCCCTTACTCAGTGACACTCTCAGGACAGCCAGGCGGATGAGGAGATTTTCATCTGGGGTCTGAGGAGGTTCACCAAAGGGGGCCCAGTGCTCCTTACCAATACTGTGTTCTGATTTTTTTCATGTCATTTTTGCTAAGAAGTTTGTCCTCCAAAGTTTTACAGTTCCATTGGGCATCCCATATACCCCTAGACCCCATCCAAGTTGTTAACCCCTAATAAACAACAAAAAACAAGCTCATGGTGTCAGGTGCCGCAGCGGCGTGTGGCTCGGCTCAGGTGCAGTGTGCCGGCTCGCACAGGTGTGCAGGCACTAGGTCCTGGCCGGCCGCGGCGGAGACAAAACTCGCGCATGCGCACTCGGGGCTGCGGGTGCACGCCTGGCACCAATGACAGCGCAGGGCGCGGTATTTAAATCCGCTCTGCACTGACACTGGTTGCCATTTGGTTTATCCTGTGTTCCTGCTTTTGTTTTCTTGCTATTTTGATCATTGCTGACCCGGATTGTTCCTGACAGTGCTGTATTCCCCTGCTCTGACCCCTGGCTTGCCTGACCTCTCTCTTGGATGCCCCTAATTTGCTCTGACCTATTGTTGCTGACCCGACCATTCTCTGCCTGCTGCCTTGTACTGCGCTGCCCCCATGGTTACCGACTCGGCCTGTCTGACCACGCTTCTGCTCATCCATCCATCCGTCCTGCTCGGGCCCATCCGCCTCTTCACATCAGGCTCTCAGTTTGCAGATACCTCTGGCGGATCCCTCTACCATGGGGGACACCACGTTAACAAATAGATACATTGTTGCAACCGCTATAAATGTCAAGGAACTGTCAAAGAAATAGCGGAGCTCTCTGCAGGGACACTTTTTGCCGGACTGGAATTCCTCTTCTTCTTCATCCTCTTCTTCTTCTTCCTCTTCTTCTTCCTCTTCTTCATCCTCTTCTTC